TATGTGTATGGCTGATACCCAGTAAAATGTATATTATGTTGTGAAAGTGCACAAACACAACACTGATGAGTATAGATAATGGATAGTGTATATTGCCAGTATGTCAGTGTAAACATGCTCCTGAGCGCCACATTTCTGAATGAGTCGTTTCCCACTTACTCATTGTCACTGACCGATTGTTAGGTTCTTGTATTAAATTGGAACAATTTTACATTGTGTTATGATATGGATGATACGTAGCGTGGATCTGTGCATTGATGTAACAGGTGAAAACTTCGATCGCGTAATGGAACCTGAAAATATTAACTTATTTCAAAGATATTTTGCACGTTTAATAACGAGGTCCAGTGACAACTTCTCCGCACTATTGGAAATTTTGATTTTTTTCACCCAACCCTAATGTCCAGGTACTAACCCAGATTGTATGTGAAACATGTATTGTTCTCTGATGAGTCCAATGTCACTGTGTTTCTCACATCCGAGAGAATTATGGTGTGGAGAGGCCCCAAAGAGCCTTACCACCTGGGCTGTTGTGCACCCAGAGTGCAACACAGGAATGGATCAATCATGGGTTGGGTTGAAATATCATGGCATTTCCTAGGCCCACTACTTGGGCTAGATGGGCATGTCACTGCCAAGGACTACTGAACCATTCTGGAGAACCCAATGGTTCAAACATTGTACCCTGAAGGTGGTGCCGTGTATCAGGATGAAAATGCACCAATACACACAGCAAGACTGGTGACAGAGTGGTTTGATGAACGAGAAAGTTAAGTTAAACATTTCCCATGGCCTGCAGTCACCAGATCTGAATATTATTGAGCCACTTTGGGGTGTTTTGGATGAGCGAGTCAGGAAATGTTTTCTTCCACCAGCATCACATAATGACCTAGCCACAGTTTTGCAAGATGAATGACTGAAAATCCCTCTGGTCATTGTACAGGACTTATATCTGTGTTTTCCAAGGCAAACTGATGCTGAATTGGCCACAAAAGAAGGTCCTATACCATACTAATAAATTATTGTGGTTGAAGACCAGGTGTATTAGTTTCATTGTCCAACCCCTGTCATTATCTACATATGACATCATACAGGATAATGTGAGAGGATGGATTTGACTCAGTCACTTAATGGATCTGTCAATGCCCCCCTAACATTGAAAGCACAGTAAAATCCCTTTGTAACCAACCAGTTGCTGTAAGCCTTGAATTTGCTCTTGACTGCCTGTGTCTCATACAGAGCATGATGGGATAGGTGAAAAAGAGTTTCGCCACAGGGATGAATAAACTATCACTCATCTTTTTTCTTTTATTGATGAATTGTACATGTTTATTGTTCGGTTTCAAATTCTGTTACTGCCACGCTGTGTTGTTTCTCACTGTTATGGTAACAATGTTGTACTTTGATGACCTGCATGGTTGTGCCATGGGCTGAATATGTATCCTCAGAACAATTAAGTACTGTTTACCTCACAATTGTATCAAGTCCAGCCCTGGTTTAGACCATATACACAACTGTTCAAAAGTTTGAAGTCGCTCAGAATATTGCACATTTTCCATGAACACTAATTTTTATTAATCAAATGAGTTGCAAAATGAATAGAAAATATATGCAAGATATTGCCATGGTTGCAAATAATGATTTTTGCTTGAAATAATCTTATGCTTCAAACTTTGCTTTCATCAAAGAATTCTCTATCTGCTGCAATTATGCCCTTGCAAACCTTTGGCATTCTAACTGTTATTTAAGGTAATCTGCAGAAATTTTATGGTTTTTGACTCTGGGTGGACTGGTGGCTAGGGATCTGTGCCAGCAATTGGAAGATTGCTGGTTTGAGTCCCGTGAATGCCTTGATGATTCCCTTGAGCAAGGCCAATAACCTGCAATTGCTTTGTCCTGGGAATTACGTTAATCTACATCCAGGCCTGCAAGGAGGTCCTTCAAGGGACATGTGGGGGTTGGTGGCATAATTGGCACTCCAGCCACTGAAAAACAACACACCATTCCATTTGGACTAGTGTGGTGCTGAGGTATCACACGCCACATGGCTGCACTTCAGCTCCATCCTTGAGGTGGTTTGTTGTGTGGTGGTGTGGAAACGTGCTGTAATCAGCATGTGCTCCTTACCTCTCTCTTCCTGAAGCACTCACAAGTTGTCTGGCTTGATAGGCACTTCTTTTGTGCTGTATGGTCAAGGTGCTCCCACAACAGCTCAGCAGGGCTGAAATCCGGTGACTGCTTTTCTAGTCATCCTCCATCCATTGTCTGTTCTCCGGCCCATTTTAAAATTTTCCTTTTATTGATCAGTTTCAGACATGTTTTTTTTCTTTGAAACTTTGTCTAAAAGTTAACCATCCCAGAGTCGCCTCTTCACTATTGAGGAGGTGACTGGTGTTTTGCAGGTATTATTTAATAGGGTTGCCAGCTTAGGACCTGTGAGGTGTCTGTCTCTCAAACTAAAGGCTTAATCCTTCTGCACAGTTGTGTACCAGGGCCTCCTACTTCTCTTAGAGCCAGTTTGCACCATCTGGCGAAAGGAGTAGTGCACACCTTTGTAAGATATTTTCAGTTTCTTAGTAATTTCATGTATGGAATCGACTTCATTTCTCAAATCAACAGCAGACTAACAAGTGTCTGAGGAAAGCTTTTTCCTGTTGACCATTTGACAAATGCTGATGCTCCAGATAACCAAGTGGCCCAAAGAAGGCCAGTTCTATTGGTTCCTTAAATGGCACAATGATTTTCATCTCTGCTAACATAATTGCACAAGGGTTTTTTCCATGATGAATTAACCTATTAAAATGATAACTTAGGAACAGCCAACACAATGTGTCATTAAAGAACAGGAATGAGGGTTGCTGAAAATGGGCCTTTGTACGCCTATGTAGAAATTGCATAAAAATCAGTTACTTGTAGCTATAATAGTCATGCACAACATTAACAACATTGACTATATTAATAATCAATTTAATGTTAATAAAAAAACCTGTGATATTCATGCAAAAAATGAAAAATTCTCAGTGATTCCAAACTTTTGAATGGTAGTATTTCATATTAGAATTTTTATATAATTAATTTATATAAACGTTTGGAACGTAATTCTTCACTTGAGATAAAAATAGAAAAATAAGGAAACAAGATAAAGGGGGAGAAAAGCCCGATGGCCCAGAAGTATTTGTTTATTGATGACATTCCTGATAAGGCCTTTGACGGCCTCTTGGAGGGAACATGCCCAGGCAAAATGTGTTCGATGAATTCAATAAAACTGTTAAATTCTGTGTTTTGTGCATTCTTAAACATTCATTACACATCCAACAATATCGGTTAATACTGAAAAGAAAGAAAGAAAAGTTTAGTTGGAAATTCAAGGACATTCATTATCGGATGGATCTAAAAGCAGATAAGTGGAACAAAAAAACTACGCCAGGAAATGTAGTGCACTCATTTCATAATATGAAATATGAATAATAATATGAAATGCATACCGCTATAATACACATCCCGGTTGTATTTATTTGGCTCTTTTTAATTGCACAGAAAGAGTAAGCCCCGACTCCCAGTAGCATACAGCAGCCGTGCTTTTGGAGCCCCCTGGCCTCCACTGAGCGCCGCTGCCAACCGGCGGTCTTTGTCTTCTGCGTAGCCCGGCCCCACCAACAGCCACCCGGCCCCCTGCCCTCAGCCCCAGCCTCATCGCGTCACGGCATCGGTTTCAAAACGCACTTCCTGTCTCCGCTGTCAGCGATGCGGAAGATCAATGGGAACGGGCGAGAAAATAAAGATAAATAGATATAAAGCGGCAGGTGCGGGAAGGTGAACGTGGATATCGGGGAGCGGAGCGGAGCAGAGCACCGGGCTGCTCGGCGCCGAAGTTTAAACCGCTGCGATCGGCTGGGGATGATGAGCCGCGACGCCTCTTGGCGGTAATGCTGGGCAAGCGGGACACACCGGCGTGAATAATAAGAAAGTTTCATAAAAAAGTAAGAGAAGTTCATTCCGGTACCTGCAGAAACTGGAGGAAGAAAGGGAAGTTTGACGGGGAAATATGGAAAATAAGGTGCAGATGAGGAATAACCCACGCAGGTAACACTTTTTGTCAGTTATTATTTTATGTGCTTTTTAAGTTTAGTTACGAGTCGGAATTTAAGTCTTTGCATGAATTTGTATTATTATTATTATTATTATTATTATTATTATTATTTTAAGGTTGCTATCCGATTGGCAAACTCGTGAATATTTACCAACTCGCCGTATAGGAGGTGAAGTCGTTTAGCTAAATGCTAAACCACCCGAATGCCGGTTTATTTTCTGCTTCAAGTAGCTGCGGACAGTTGGTGTATAGAAAAAGACAAGTTTCTGGTATTCTTTTACAAAACGTGTGCGAATATGGCCGTGGTTTAGCTGACAAGGAATGTTTGTCGATCTTTATTTTACTTTCTGTCAACAGCAGAAAGTGCGGCGGAAACCGAGGCTTTAATACTGCGCTCCGAAATGCCGAACCCGATACACTGACTATGCCAAGTGATTTCTTGGTGGCAACGTGGTACTAAATAGGTTTGTAAAGTTGCACAAATAGCTGGTTAACGAGCGATGGAGGCTTCAGGACAGCAGAAAGTCAAAGGGATCCGTTTGCGTAGGTCGATGGGCACGTGTCGGATAACCCCCCCCCAGTTTCATTTTACCCTTTGCGTCGCCCTTAATAACTGAAGCGAAAACTTAATGAATAGTTTGTCCATCATCGCCATCTCCTGAAAGGAAGCTTGCTGCAAGTTCTTGCCTAAACGTTGCAAGATAATCTGGCCCGTCATTGCCTCTTGGAGATGTGCTAGGCAAGGCACATGAAGTTAATTTCCCCACCCTCAGCTCTTAATAAAGATGCAACAGCAAGAATGGCAGCATACTGGCATAAAAGTTGATATTCTACATTGATGTATGTAAAACTGACAGGAGGGAACCTGGAACATAGAGATGAAACAGAACTCATTTGGAAGTCCTAGGAGGAAAAACCTCTTGTGGTCCAAATGAAACTGGCATGTCCACAAAACCTCCTCCCTCCAGGACACACGAATGCCGCATAGTGTACAAGCTTCTCCTGAGGTCTCTGAATGGCAGCCCTGCATTGTCACAGCGTCAGCTGTGCTCTGAAAGCAGGGCCCCTGAGGCGCTGTGGTTCTCGCAGTCGTGGGGTGTTTGCGGATAACCGCTTCCAGGGTTACGTGGCTTGTCAGGGTGGGAAGCTCTGGCAAGCTTGTTGAATCCGGCCCCAAGCCTGTCGCTGCATGTAAGGCTGGTAGTGGAATGTTTCCCTAAGGCCCTGGGGTGATGTGTACGACCCCTTGCACGTGACAATATCAGCTGTGCATTGACTTTGCCGAGATCTTAATCTGGCCTTAAAACAATCCTATTTCTGTAATTATTCTAGCATTAACCACATCAAGACCTCTAAATGAAATAATGTTCTGCAGTGCCCTAGAGATGGAATAAGTTATACTAAATTCATAGGTATGTGCAGAGGCATGAAACTGTTTGGTTTTATTTCTTGTTAGTAGTATTTGTTTCCCTCTGCTATGTTGTCTGTTCAGCAAAATAATGTGATGAGATGCAGCACTGCTCTCTGGGACCTGGGAATGTCGCATTTTCATATTCTTGCTTTATCAGTTTGTAACTCTGACAGGCTGGCTGCTCCATGATAACGTTATCAGGACCTTCCAGTCCAAACGGACACAAAGGGCCTAACCCAAATTTTCCCTTTTTGTGGTTTGAGATGAAATGCTGCAAGGGTGTTGCATAAAAGCGGAAAACTTTATAATAGTTCTTTCATGTCTTTTCTTCATGTTTTAATATGAGAGTCATGGTTGAATGTAGTTTATTTCAGTAGTGCTTCTAGCTTAATCCATTCATTTTAAGTGCAGGATAGTTATTGTGATGTGAAATGCTTTTAATCGTATATCAATTTTTACAATTCCTGGTAAATCCTCTGATGATGTCCCATATTTTTTTCCTGAATAATGTTGTGGTTCTTAGTGTTAACTTAAGCGGTAATCATTTTTCGTGACGTAACCTTGTATGTTGTAGCTGTGTAACCGTGAGTAAGGCTCTTTACATCAGTGCAACATTCAGCTATATTAATAACCACATCGGTGTTATCAGTCACTTGTAACTAAAATTCATGCTGTGCTTTCTATAACTGTTTTGCTTCAAAATAACACAGTGCCGTGATTGGCTGTAAATGGAAATGGTAAGTCTCCAAAGAGCTCAACGAACACCCGCAATGCGTTGGGTTCATGGCACAGTTGATGAACAGGGATGTTTGGGCTGAAACGGTATGCCTTAGAATGCATAATGGTTAAACAACATAGAGTACAGTAGTCCAGTGGGTGGCATTACTGCCTCACATATTGCGGGTTCAGATTCAGCCTTTTCTTTGTGTGTGTGGAGCATGCATGTGGGTTTTCTTTGGCTATATCCTAAAATCCAAAGATGTAGGGGGATGGGCTCATTTCTAACATCACTCTTGAAGCATGAGAGCATTGGCATGTGTGTGCCCTGCGATGGACTGGGATCCCAACCTGGGTGCACCTTGCCTTGTGCTGTCTGGGAGAGGCTCCAGGGCCCTCTACCACCCTGTCCAGAATACGATGGATGGATGGTATATATACATATATATTTTTATTGTTTTGAATTAACCATTTCTTTCCTCTCTTTCCTGGTTCAGGCAGCTGAAGAAACTGAGTGAGGACAGTTTGACAAAGCAGCCAGAAGAAGTGTTTGATGTTCTGGAGAAGCTGGGTGAAGGGTGAGTCTTTAGATTGGATACTGAATCCACATGTTACCTGCCCACAGTATTGTGTATAAATTAGATACGTGATGATGAGGCTTTATGCTTCCGGCATTATAATGTGCATTGCAGTCAGTGTCAAAATTGTTTTTAATCATACGTTTGCAAAAGCACGCTTTGGAATTTGATTCGGTAACAGGGTGATCCTCCACATTGATGCAGCAGCTTCATATATCCATCTGTTGTGCTGTTTTGTGGTATTCTGTCATCACTGGCTGCATTTTAATAAGATTAGAGTGGAGGGTGTCGATAGTTGTCTAGGCAGTGACAGCATCAAGTTGTTCTGTGAAATATCTTAAACGTCTTTAAGGAGGTGGGAGAAGACCTCATGGTCCCATCACCTGCAGAAAAATGAGGGATTACAATGGATTACACTTCACCAGACAATCTGCATTGTATTACATTTAACAGAATACTATAAAGGGGGGAAGGGGAAACTTCTGGAAGGCTGTGAGGAGGGAAGGTCCAGTGTGGGATTCCCAGAAGGGATGTGGTGGTTTTGTTTGGTGGTACCCTGAAAAAAATAACCAGTGTTTTGAAAGGGCATGATCAAAGAGGGCTGAAGTCAGCTTGATTAGAAAGCACTTGGTTCTTTCTGAAACTGGCTTCGGCGCTTGATTTCGTAAGGGGAGAGCATGTCTCAGAGAGTGAGTGAGGTTAGACAGGCTTAGCTGACTTTTCACACCTTCTCTGTTCTTCTCTGCTCATTTTGTTTGACGTCTGAATGGCGCGGCTCCTTTTCAGGAACGGGAGCCCAGGCCGTTGGAGTAAACGGAAAGCGTGCTCAAGTCTGCTCTTCGTGGATGGCTATGCTATTTTTAGGCTGAGGCAGGGGAAGAGTTGGGGCGCCGTATACAGGCTACTTCTTCCAGTTACAAAAAACTGCTGTCTACTTCCTGTTTCTCAACTTCCTGTAGTGTGAAACATCCTCCTCACTGCGCTCATCGCTCGTAGATGGCTGACTGGGAAACAAAGCTGAGAAATATAGCTACTTCTCTTTAAAACTATTGTTTTGCTGCTTACCTGACAGGCTTTTTTCCACTAAGCAGTTTGCAACTTCACCCGTTTCTACTGCATATTGGCCCATATACCAATGTGATTGATGTTGTCTTTCATAGGAATTTTCCAACCCCAATTGCTCATCCCTTTAAAGACCATAAAGCTTTTTCAGTGGTTAATCCAGTCAGCTAACCAATGGAAACACTGACTGTATGAATAGGGCTCTCTTAGATGTTTGTATGCAGTGATGAGCACAAGTAAGCTGTATATAGAAGGTACTGTTTAAGATAAAGTGACTGACTGAGCCAGGGTTCCCCCTGGAGTTTGATTTCAATTCTTCACTTTTCTTTGTATTTTTGCTTCTACTAATCAAATTCTTCACTTTTTTTCAGCATCCGTTTTTTTTAGTCACTCTCTCGCCGCTTCTTAATAAATTAATCATTAAACTCACTGAATATACATCTCTTCTGACAATCACACTGTGATTGGTCAACTAACGGCATGGGCGAGTCACGAGTTTACTTGATAAGGTTGGGAGAATCGTGAATACTGTGTAAAAATTTGCGTGCTGGTGTGCTGAAAACATAATGTATAGTACGCATTTCGGAAATAATGTTATAATTACTATATATATATATATATATATATATATATATATAACTTAAAGTACCAAGACAGCCACCAAAAATCACCAAATTTCTCCCACATATATCTGGTTATAAACACTTTCACCTGACAAAAAATCTAAACCGAAATACAAGGAATATGGACTTTATTTTACATTAAGCCTTTTCCTTATAATGGGCGTCAATGGAGGGGAAAACGCTTAACGTAAAATAAAGTCCATATATTCCTTGTATTTCGGTTTTGATTTTTTGTCAGGTGAAAGTCTTCATGACCAGATGTGTGTGTGCGAAATTTGGTGATTATTGGTCGCTATTTTGGTACATTAAACCATTTTGGTAAATTAAACGTTTTCACATTAAGCGTTTTAGAATGTCCCCACACCGATCGATAACATTTGCTACTTTTAGAACGGCCCATGCTCATTTGACATGGATCATCGACGATCGTGTGTCCGGGGCGCCGGGCCAGTTTTGATTAGGCCCTACGGGTGCTACGGTTGAAAATTGGGAAAAAATGAAATTCGACTTTTCAAAAATTCAAAATTCGTCATTTGAAAATTTAATTCGCCAGAGTGACGATTTGATGCCGTTTTTCTTCGTCACCATGGGTTGCGTTTTCGTCAATGACGAGAGTGACGAGCGGCAGCGGGAACCCTGCTGAGCGAATCGTACACCCATCTGTTTTCTAATATTCTGGTTAGGATCTTGGTGTCACGGAACCCTTTCTGAGGAGTACAGGCCGTGCAGTAGAGCAAATGTTAATGGCGGGCCTCACACACACTCCTTTAGCATGTCTTTGGGCTGTGGGATATATGCAGTCTATCTGCATATATTTCAGGCACACAGGTTTGGGGCTGTATTTGAACTTGTGAATCAGTCTGTTGAACATTGGAGTTTAACTTGAGATTTTCTGAGTGTATGGAAAGTTCTATCTAGGATGGGGGTGGTATCTATTTTTTTTTTTCCCCCCACCATCATACCTTCTAGACTTTCCAGCCCAGTATGTGGTATATGACAGTGTGTGTGTGTGTGTGTGTGTGTGTATTAAACAAAAAGAAAACATAGATTGCGTAGACTGCTGTTGACTCCAGAATCAGAGACGGCCTAAACAGGCTTATCAGGGTGGAAGTTGAACACTAGGGAAATGAGGAGACAACTTCTTGTTGAAGAGCCGTAAACATCACCCTTCATTCATTGACACCACTTGTCACTGCCTGATTTGTGGCCACATGCACACTAGGTTTAATGGCGTGTTAATGGCGCATTTTGTTTTTGTGGCATTAACCTATGTGCGGGTTTTGACTTGCTTTTTTAAAAAACTTAAGTGAGGCTCCAATTGCTGCAAAGCTGTGCACTACAGTATATCACCTCAATACAGCATCTCTGTATCAATTTCATAGAGGAGCATCTGTATTTTACTGTATTTAGAAATCCCAAAGGTATATTCATTATAATAACCAGGTATACTGTAATATTGTTATAGCCCTCAATGGCCTCAAGCCTAAATGTATCTTAAATGTTCAGGGATTTAAATGCCTTTAAAGGGTGGTGTGTGGCTCAGTGGGCTAAGCCTCTGAACCCGTTCGAGCCCAGCCTAAGCAGAACATTCACATGGCCATGGGTTCTTTGAGCAAAGCCCTTAACTTCCATCCCCTTGGAGACCAAGATGGCGCAAAGGGATAAGAGGAATTTCCCCACGGGGATCAATGAAGTATCACAATTGTATTCCATTTATCTCCCAGCACTAGTGTAAAAGTGTGACCCTTTTGGTTTTGTTCAGGTCCTATGGCAGCGTGTTCAAAGCCAACTATAAAGAGACTGGAGAGATCGTGGCTATCAAGCAGGTCCCTGTGGAGTCGGACCTCCAGGAAATCATCAAGGAGATCTCCATCATGCAACAGTGTAACAGGTATCAACTGCCCCCTTTGGCATGCATGGGGAGCAGAAAGTTCTGGATCTTGTAGATGATTGTACGAGATGGAGGAAGGGATGCCGATTTAAGGAGTTTTGTCTGATGGGGCAATGTGTGGATCAGTGGGCTAGGGATCTGCTTCCATGTCCGGGAGGTTGTGGTTTTGAATCTCATAACTGACAGAGTAATCGTATCATCATTGGACCCTTGAGCAAAACTCTTATTCTTCAGGGGTGCTGGATGCTCTCTCAGCCCAGGCTTTCCCCACTTGTATGTTGTTTTGGATAAAAGTGTCCACTATATAAATAAAAATAAAAAGGCTTTGGTTTGCTTCACTGATGTCACTGATGTACCATCATCGGCAGTGTTGTGTGTTTACCAGTCTGCATGGTGACCATAAGAAACTCATTTGTGTCACCAGCCCACATGTCGTCAGGTACTATGGCAGCTACTTCAAGAACAGCGACTTGTGGATCGTGATGGAGTACTGCGGTGCTGGTTCGGTGTCCGACATCATCCGGCTGCGGAACAAAACGGTCAGCATGCTGGGCATTGCTCCTGCCCCTGCCCCCCCCCCCCCACAGTCCTCTATACTTCATCATCCACATGATTTCCATGCCTCTTACATGCTCCCCCACAGCTGACGGAGGACGAGATCGCCACCATCACCCAGTCGACGCTCAAGGGGCTGGAATACCTGCACTTCATGAGGAAGATCCACAGGGACATCAAGGCTGGGAACATCCTGCTCAATTCAGAAGGCCAGGCCAAGCTGGCCGACTTCGGCGTGGCAGGGCAGCTGACGGTGGGCACTTTATTGAACCGCATAACTAAGAGCGCACACACACTGCTATGAAATGTCCTTTGGGATCCTAAGCTAGGAATTCGGTTACAGGTAGCAGTAAAGCAGACTTAAGTAAATTTGGACTATTGCGAAATAAATCTGAGATTTATAGCGTTTACCGAAGCACTAATGCATGCAAGTAAATTTACACTTTTTTATTTATTTATTTTTTTTTTATGTATCATTAGTACTGTGCCCCCCCCTTCAGCCCCACCCGATGGCAGTGCAAGGGTGGAGGTGGTTGGCGCTGATTTCCTTATTTCAGTTATCCACACCTGAGGAGGGGTGGATGGTTAAAAGGAGCTCCTTGCCTCCTGGGGGGAGGGTGGGTTGGGGGTGGGGTCTGATGGGAAACACTGGATAGTTTCTTGTGTTTTTTTTTTTTTTTTTTTTAATACCATCATGCAATGTATCCATATTTTTCTTAAGGTTGCAATTTCAAAATTCAATCTTGTGTTTTTTTTTTTTTTTTTTTCTCCTCTCACTTTGGTTGCTAGAGGAACCTTTCTGGGAGGGTGGTGTTACAACCAGCTCGTACATAAAGGGAAAATACGCGCAAAATGTTCCGAAGCAGCCCGAGTTCATTAAAAACAATGGATTAAATAAATGCTGGTATTTAAAGGAATTTTACTAGGGGGAAACCGTAAACTAGCAGGGTAAAAAAATCAACAAAGGGAAAGTACAGGTTGAGCGAATCGTCCATGTGCATAGTTACAAGATAACATGAGGCAGGTTTGTAGTACTTATTACAAGCATATTTTTGGCTTATGAGTTTTTAGCTATGAGGTGTCTTGAATGGTATGGGAGGGTAAGTCTGACTTGCGTAAAGCTTTGACTTGCATAAGGGTTTGTGGATCGGATTGCATACGTCAGTGGAGAGCTGCCTGTACTCCCCTCCCCTTTGCGCAGGGAATTCCGTTTTATCCTCTTTTCTGTACATCTTCCTATTCCTCAGTCTAGTCATAGTCGCGTTATGTACACCAGGGAGCAGGGAGTGACCGGACTGGAGTGACCAGTTTCTGTCCCAAGCAGCCGCCTACTGTAGCCACAGAAAAACAGATCCATGTAAAAAAAAACGCTGTTGGTGTTTACCTTTGTCTGATTTCTAAATTTATATGTTTCTGGCTTAGATTTTCACCCATTCGTGCTGCTATGAGACCCTTGAGTATTTTTTAAGTCAGCTACCTATAAGGTGCTGTTTTTGATCTCCAACCTAGGTCTGCTTTACCAAGGTGATGTTTGGGGCTAGGAGCTAACAATTGATACCAGTCTCAAGATGTAGGTTACAGGACAGTTACTGTGCTACAATTTCACACCTTAAGCAGAGGGGCGTGAGAGAGATGGGTTTGAGAGAGTGTTCAGATGCGTGATACTTTATTAACAAAACAAAACATACAGAGAAATGCTCTAAATCAAGGCTTGACAGTGGTGCTTGGTTCCAGGGTGGAGCCCATACATTCTACTGAGAAAACACATCTAGTACTTTTCCTTCTCCACCTCACAGCCGATGCTCCCTTGGTCAGGCCATTAGAGCAGATAAAAGACCTTAAGTAACTGCAGACATCATTTAATTATTTTGCGGAATTGGAAAATTTACTTCAAGTTGTGTGACGACCCACCCCCTCTCCCCCATGCCAGGACACCATGGCGAAGCGTAACACCGTCATCGGCACTCCCTTCTGGATGGCGCCGGAGGTGATCCAGGAGATCGGCTACAACTGTGTGGCTGATATCTGGTCCCTGGGCATTACAGCCATCGAGATGGCGGAGGGGAAGCCGCCTTATGCTGACATCCATCCCATGAGGGTGCGTCGTCGTCCGCCCTACTGTGCCCGACGCATCTGTCTCTCCGTCTGCCGCTCTCCGTCTCTTTCTTGCCTGTGACCGACTGACCAACCTTTGTCAGCGCTCATCCTCCTTCTCATAACAGCTGCTGTGGGAGACTGGGACTAAAGCCACAGTGCAACCTGGATGACACGACTGAATTATTCATTTTAAAAACATCTTTAATAGTTTATTAATGTACCCTGAGGCCAGCTCCAGTTCTGTATCTGTATTCTGGTGAACGTGGCCTGTCTGTCCGCGTTTGCTTTGCGTCTCTCCTGGTGCTTTGGATTGTAGCTGAGGGTCTGTGGATGTTGTCCTCCTCCACAGGCCATATTCATGATCCCCACAAACCCTCCCCCGACGTTCCGAAGCCCGGACCGGTGGTCCGAGCCGCTCAAGGACTTCGTCGCCCAGTGTCTTGTGAAGAATCCGGAAAACAGAGCGACCGCCACACAGCTGCTTCAGGTACGTTCCTGACCCTCTCCAGGCGCCCCCCCCCCCCCCCCCCCCCCCCCCCCCCCCCCCCCCCCCCCCCCCCCCCCCCCCACCCATCCTCCAGGTGCCCCCCCACCCATCCTCCAGGTATACTCTCTCCCCTTTGACCCAAATTCACTTGAGATTCACCTCCTCACTGTGTCCTGTATATGTGAAAACCCAGTCATTCCCTAATACATACACCAGTGACTCGTCCCATGTTGGTATTTACCCTTATTTTGTATTCCACCGCACTTTGTTCTTGCATATTTAACATCCCTAAAAGCATTTTGCATTTCTAATATCAGGCACGCTGTCCAGACTATAAGATTAGCCTGGACATTAGTACTCTGGCACTCATACAAATACTCTGGACGTTGAGCTCCTAAAGTTATGTGTGGCTGCTCATGTGAGAGACCTCCCTGCGGGTGTGTGTGTGTGGGGGGGGGGGTCTTGTCTTCTGGGGCAGCCCATTTGCTTTGCTTTGCTCTTCACTGTCCCTCTTTCCCTCAGCACCCTTTCATCAAGGGTGAAAAGCCCAACGCCATCCTGAAGGCTCTGGTCACTGATGCCATGGAGATCAAGCTGAAGAAACAGGAGGCCCAGCAGAGGGAGCAGGACCAGGAGGACGACGAGAACTCAGTACGCTGCGGTTCTGACTGACCCCGAGCAAACCCTTCCTGTTCAGTTGTGGTGGTCTTGGAGGCGTGTCCCCAGTCTGTGTGTTTGGCTACTTGGGGACTAACATTAATCACAGCATGGTTAAATACCACCCATTATGAAACCCTCCTGTCTGCATTTAGCAGTTTTCTGATCGGAGAGAAAAGGCTTCAAAACACCTGTGTTGTTTATGGGTATTTTTAACTTCTCAGGAAATATCAAAATAGAATAGTTGATTGATTATTTCCATACGGTGATCAAAAAGTGTGTCTTCACCTGCTCTGTTTTGCTCTCCATCAGACCCATAGACTTATATGATGATGGCAAGCTTGGTGGTCACAGTGCACGGTCAACCAGCATGCAGCACCCCCTGGGGGTGAAGGGCCTTTGTCAAGGGCAACTTAACACGTCGCTCCCAAAATAATCAATATTTGGTCTGTCTGTGTCTTTTTTTCTTGTGTTATTCCAGGATGAAGATGATGTGGACCAAGGAACGATGGTGAGAGCAGGTTCCGGCGACTCCGGAACCATCCGGGTGGCTGTCCCCATGGAAGAAGCCTCGCGCACGATGGTCGAAGTCGACTCCACCTTGGACTCACGGCTCGGCACCATGGTTGTTAACTCGGACGAGGAGGATGAGGAGGAAGAGGAGGGCAGCACCATGAAACGTAAGAGGAGCCCCCCCAGGCTGCCATTTTCCTGCCTACCATTGCATCTTCGGTCCTTGTAGTTTTCACTGAGGTCCACAGGATGTCCCCAGAGTTTCACTTATGAGAACCATCACCTCACTTTCCTCTTAAGAGATGCAGGTTATACATTTGCAGTTTATCGAAAGATAAACTATCCCTTGTTTTGAAGCACAATACTGAAACTAATACGAGAGTTAATTGTATTTTATTTAGAAGGGTACGTATTCATATTTAAATAAAAATCACGAAGAAACAATTATGGATGTCAGGCCAAACATGTTTGTCTACAATGTTGCATTGTAATGTGTCCTTAATGCAGTGTTTCCCAACCCGTTCCAATATTTTGGGTGCTGAGAGGAAGCAGAAATGTGGACTGTCCGGTGTTCCCCGAGGACTGGGTTGGGAAACACTGCCTTAATGTATATGCATGAATTTTAAAGAGTTTGTGCAGGTACCTGTCATGCTTTTGACACACTGTCACAATATTTAATAGTATCTGATATTTGAAAGGAACTAAGACGAATTAAATATCGATTAAATATTTCTGTCTTTATTAGAATTAATATCCAGTCTCTTTCACTACGTCCTGATTTACAATATCCTGATATTTCTGTCCTGTTGTTTGTGGTTGAGATACTCATGCCTTAATGCATGTGTGCATTTTGAGTCAAAGAAGATGATGGTGTGTGTTAACTTGGCCATTTCAGCGGCTCTCCTAAAGTCACCCCAGCATTTGCAGCAACCATCCAATACACCCATGAATTTGTTTTGACATTACTACTAGCAATGCTAATCAATACCTTATTGACTTTTTTAAAACTAATTAAATTAAGAGAGCTGGTGGTGAAATTTAACAAATGCATGGAGTGGCTGAGGTGCCCCTGAGGAGAGGTTTGGGAACTGAAGTGTTCATCTAGCCAGCCAACAAGATACCAGTGACGTTTTGGAGAACAGAAGAAATTCGTGTTCGTATGTTGTTTCTCATAACATTACAATCTATGCAAAATTATATTGTGTTTTTTGTTTCACGCAAATATACATTTACTACCTAGATTAATAGCTTTAAACATTTCCTTTGTCTGCCAAAGACTTTTGAACCGCACTGTATATCCCAGAGGTTGTTGCTGAGTACGTTTCCTCTGCATTAATTATTACTGATGATGTGTGTAGAATATATTCGCTAATTTGTTATGGTCTCATCTTTAAAACTGCCATCAAAAGCCCTATATCTGTCACTCCATTGAAGGAATCAGCTGTCTATATCGTGCCTTTAAAATAACAGGATAGATTAAACCCTTAATATGATCAGTAGATGGATCAGTTGGCCACGCACACTTTCCATTCCGTCCGGTAGGAAATTAATCTAATTTGTATGGATTAATTTAGAGAGCGGTGAAGAAGGCATTAGTGGAAGAGTGTGTGGAGAGTAATGTTTTCCCCGTAAATTAGATTGCAGTTCCCCTCTTAAGCTTTTACCTGGGGTGAAGTGTTCTGCCACAGTTCTAACTTTAGGATAAGTCATTGATTTCTCACTGGAAATGCTAGAGGAATTAAATGCCTATTGCTTCTCAGTACCAGATAGCTAAGATGTAACCATCAGACCGAGGACTGGTCCGGTCCCCATAAATAATATGGATGATTGTTTTTCTTTTGTAGGGTGTCTTCTTGCTTTTGTCCAGAATCACCTGCCCATGGGCTCAGATCCCATGGTTAGAAGAGAACCTCTCCAGCTATGCTGGCTGATCCTGCTGCCTGACTCTCGGCCTTCCCAGCCCTGTTGCCTTTCTAGCTTGAAAGCTGTGTGCAGCGTTCCCATCTATGTGCCTCTCAATAGAACTCCCAGAGCAGGTTGCCCTTAACTGAAGTTCTGATTATTTTGACCTGCTTAGTGGTAGGGCCTGTTTATCGTCGAAAAGGGGTCTAAAATGACCCGGTCTGTCGGAGCAGAGAACTGCATGGTTTAACCTCGCAGGGGGTTAAACTGAAGGCTTAGGACGGAGGATCTTCAGGGTAGTTCAGGGTTCTTCAAATCTGAATCGCTGTTCCAAATCCAGGCCTTGTTTTCAGTTCTCCCAGGTAGTTAGTTTAATAATTACTGATTCTGATTGGTCAGAGGCTTCACACCTGACTGACAGGCAAAGGAAGGCTAGAAAACTAGTGATTTGAATAACCCTGATCTATTTAGTTGACTGCTTTTAGAAATACAGATGCTGACATCTTTAAAAGGATTTCAAAGAACATACGAGCTTTACCACTGGTCAGTTTGGCTCTTTGTGTGCAGTATGAACAGAGGCTTATCCCTGGATGGCTGTTGTCTGACTGCGTATGAACAGAGACCACTGGATGGTTGGTGTTAGTGTGTGTGTGACTGACTATAGAGTGGCCTTTGGCTGTGAACTGATCCCAAAGTAGCTAAAATGTCAGTTCCATGGGAACATGGGGTGCGCTCCGGATTTCAGAGGGTCCCAGCATTCGGACCTAACCCTGAGTGCTTATGAAGTCTGGACCCTCGGTTGTGCTAACCCTCCCCCCCCAATCTTCCCCTGGCATCCTGGTCTTTCTCATTATGCCTCCCCGAACGACCTAGCGAGGCAGCGCAGGGCACCTGCGATGGAGGAGGCGCCTGAATAATGGATGATGTTGTGAATTAGTGATGAGCGGAGTGCCCTTTCTCAATGGGGGATAGAATGCAGGACTACAGGCCTCATGAGCGGCCAAACAGCGCAGTAGGAAAAAGAACAAGAATGGAATCTTTTAAAGGCTTTCCAGTGCGTGGGGCTCCTCGAGCAGTTCTCATGCATTATTGTGCCCATGTGATGGAAGCTGCAAGTGGAGTCGTTTTCTCTGGAGTTTAGTTTCCTCTCCCTCATCTATGGTGGCATGAAGTACAGATGATCGTAGAAATGCAGAATATACATGCTCGCATTTGCTGCACTTATGTATTTTGTATTCAGCCCCCATGCTGTCATAAAAATTTTACTCCACTTCATTTTTGCACTCTATGTGGTCTTGTTTGCAGCCCTGGGACCAGCCAAGCAGAATATTATTTTATACTTTTTAATTGTCTAATTTAATCCAGATCCATCCATTTCTTCAAGTACCTACAAGACTTTTTGTAAACACATTCGATACTGACCACATTTTATAGTTTTGGTATGAATGTAAAAATTAATTTAGTTGGATTGGTTCCCCTTGAATGCTGAAAATGTTTTATCGGAAATGTTATTGTCACTGTAATGAGCAGAAGGAAGGACTTCTCTTTTTGACTTAACCAAACAATGAGAGAATTAAGAACTTCAGCGCAGGCCAGAGCATGTTTGCAATTAGAAATGCAACAGGAATTTTATTTTTTTTCCCCCCAAAAGTTTTGATGATTTTAACAATGAAATTCTCCAAACGATAGTGTGTTGCACACTATAATTCATTGGCCTGGCTCTTAGTGTTAGCATTGGTGACCCACTGGTGTTGTCCTTAATGTGTGAATCTGAAGTATTATAGTAATGTTGGCTTGTAATGCACGACTCCTGGAGTTGATGTCAACATTTGACTTCCCAAGTTGTAGCTCTGGAAAGTGGTATTAAAGAAAGAGCAGGGAGGCCCTCTGTCCAGCCAGTGTGCGCTCTGATAAAGGTTCTGTCGGATGGGATTACCCTGATATTACCCTGGGATTGGGATTACCCCTGGATTACCCCGGGATTACCCAGGCATCCTGCCACTTGCCCAGCTGTATTTCAACTATATTTTTAAAGTATTTTTTCGTCTTTTATTTAGTCGTTATATGTTTGTATGTCTTAAATATTTATATTGGTATTTACATACAGACTGTCCCTGTCTTGCAACCTTTGCGACTTACAAAGACTTGCATATACGTCTGAAGTAAAAAAATTTTTTATATATATATTTTTAATTTTTAAGTAAATGTATGTAAAAATATTTCTGCCCGCCATATGCCTGGCAGTGCTACACTACCTAGTGCACACTGCGTGCCGGATGATAGTATCCATGGGCAAAAACTGTAGTCTGTGATAATGCGACCATCTCAGCCTCACACGCATCTCCCACTCTCATCCTCACTCCTAATAGTCAGTACCAATATCCTATTCCTGCATACATTTCCATTTCAACGTACAGCCTGTCTGCTGGAACAGAACCCTGTCATAAGAGGGAAATGGTCTGTATTATGGTTGTAATACTTTTCTCTGCTGACCAACCAGAGAGACATTTAATCTATGTGTGACCCCTGCATCACGGAGCTGAAGATTAAAATGAAGGTATCTTGACCTAGCAGCAGCCTCTTCCCTTTCTGTGTGGGCAGACGAGATTCCGTCTGCATGGCTGACTGTCTTCTCTCTGAAGGACCTTAGTCACAGCTGGAGAGAAGTTGGGCCCTAGAATCAAACTGTGGTGTCAATACACGGTCAGAAAAGCTGCTGATTTATTGTGCCGTTTGATATCAATAGCATGTGAATTTGAAGGATGTTCCGTGTTTGTTTTGTAGGCCGGGGAGAGACCGTGCAGCCTGCCAAGCCATCTTTCTTACAATATTTTGAACAGAAGGAGCAAGAAGCAAACAATTGTACCAAGGATGATGGTCATATAGCGGACAACCGCAAGCTTCCAGCAGAGGGCGACTTTGCTTTGGTAAGTGGGTGTCAGCACTTTGTTATGCAGTCAAAACATTGATGTTAGGCTGAAGGAACACATGTGCAAGTCTGCATCCCCTCTCTCTCTCATCTGCTTTTGTCTACGTCTTTAGCTTTGTTAACGTTGAGGCAATTTCAAGTTGTGACCTTCAGACTTTCCTGCAGTCATCAACCTTGCATCCTAATTCAGTTGTAAAGTCAAATCTCATTAAGATTTATATCCATATCTAACGTGGATTCTGACTTAAATTTAATTAATATGTACAGCCTTGTCCTATCAACATGACTTGAATTCCAAAAATACATGCATTGTTCTTCATTATGTCAAGTTAATTTGATTTTGATCCTTTTTGAAAGGAGGCTTTTTAAAAACTCCTTTTTGAAAAGCAGGTTTTGCCAGTTAAGTTGACATGACTTTAGATGCATCTGATATTTGGTGCCCTTTATTACCCCCCCCCCCCTCCCAATAATTGTCTTCCTACCTATTTGCAGATTTAACACATTATCCATGAGAAAGGTGCTGTACACTCCAGGTTTTTGTTAAGTTAAACCATTCATTATTTTTTTGGGGGGGGACATAGGAGGCTTGTTTTAATACTTTTTACCCCAGTCATGGAGATGATTTGAAAAATGATTGGCTGACTGATACATTGTGACAATGTGGCATCAGTGATTATCTGACAGATGCATTATGGCATCTCTGAAGACCAGTTTTGCTCCCTGTGCTGCGGTGGCCGTCCTTGTCAACACGCATAGGCGCTTTTGACATGCAGATTTGTCTTCCTGTGCTTTGAGGGACTAGGTGGGACCTAATTTCCAGGCAGCCCTTCGGTTTGCAGGCGGCCTCCTGAGAATCACCGTGGGCCTCTTTTCTGCGCTGGCCCTCATTCAGTGCCCTGCCCCCGTACCGTGGAGTATGCCGTGTATCTCCAGGAATATACTTCAATATTTTAGGCTCCTTTGGATATAAGCATCCGCTAACATCGAGTGAATGAGGAAAAAGGAAGAAATTGTGTGATCATTCTCTAGTTTGTGGAACACTGTTGAAACTGAATGCTGTTATAGGGTAGTGGTGGGGAAGGCATGAAGGGTAGGTGGTTTGGTGGGAAGGCATTTCCCTTATGTGTGGATAAACACAAGGCATGGACAGACTATCATTACTATCCGCTACACTAGCAGGAAGACTATTCCATACTTCCATACGTAAAGAAGTGTTTTCTTAAATTCAGTTTAAAATGTTCTCCTGCTAATTTCCACCTATGGCCACGAGTTCTAGTATTTAAACTATTATTAAAGTAGCCATTTGGCTGAACAGCATCGAGATCTGTTAGAATGTTATATACCTGGATCATGTCCCCCCTTAATCTCCTTTGCGCGAGGGTGAACAGATTCAGCTCAGCTAACCTCTGTGTATGAGGTCTTCTGTTGTTTCACACAAGGCTCCAATGGGCATTTTGAGAAGGCCATTGTTAATCCTTCCCAGCCCTTTTTATGAGCTTCATAGTTTTCCTATAAAAAAGCTAGCGGGTAAACAATGTAAATAGGAGAATCTTCCCCAGACAAAGGGGATTAGGTAGTTTGGTGAAGGTGACATGGGGAAATCTCCCTAATGGGTGAGGAAAGGTAGAATACAGAGTAAAACTAGGTCTGACATAGGTACTCTAAGCCCAGATACAAGTACCGATGCTTGCACTGGGGGTCATTTCATAGCCGAAAAAGACAGTGAAAGCATGAAAAAGGCGATACATGGATTATCCACTAAGAAGATGGCATTTCAACTTGCTGTCTGCTAATTAGCGCTGCTTTTTTTTGTGTTTTTGGTCTCTGTGAAAACCCGTGGTTCGATGGGCTGTCTAAAGCCGTCCAAAGCAGTGTACTGTATGACAAACTTTACCACCTCAAAGTATTATCCTATCCATCATTACAACATTATGCTTGGTCTTCAAGAGCAATATATAGTGGGACCCCCGTATCCGCGGTTACTGTTTCAGGTTGTTTACAGCGGTCAGAAAAAAAATCGAGAAATAAATGGTTCATAAATTTCAAGCCGTGTACCAAGCGAGTACAGGCTTGCATGGTGAAATCGGCCATCCCAGCCACGCCCAGTACTTCCTTTGTCCCTGTATCCATGCTTCCCCGCAGAATTGCATTCATTATTGAAGTGCATATCATAAAAAAAAGTATAAAAAGCATGTTTTTTTTTATTGCCCCTTCATCCCTTGATACATGATTTTTTTTTTTTTTTCCCCCCCATTGCTCTATCGTGTCTTGAATTAGGCAGAAATGTCAGAATCTCTTTAATTGGAGAATAATGTACAGTACTGTATAATAATATACAATGTACTTTATTACGGTGTTTAATGTTGGTAATGTCTTAAATTATGCACTGTATCAGTTATCCTTTACCATATGTATGTACATGAAAATCGTGTCGTATTTGAAGTCCGCGCATGATGTGCTATTAGCAGTGGTTTCGGCTAGAGGTCGACCGATATTGAATTTTACCGATACCGATAGCTAGGTTGGTCCGTACTTGCCGATAACCGATTAATTAACCGATAGTTTTTTTTTCTAACATATCAACTTAGTCTGCTTTAAAAAAATGATCAGTTCACCAACAAAAAAACAGTACTGAATCATGAAAATGTGCTATATGAAATGAATATGAATATATTAATAAATATTGAGGTAAATTAAAGACATGCTTTCAAACTGAAACAAAAAGTAACACTCCAAATAAATAAAAAAAGTTACATACAAAATGAATTATAATAATTATAATTATATAATTATATAATATTATATAATTATATATAATATTAATTATATAAATGTATATTATATGTGTAGTCTCCCACTATATTTGCTTCTATTTTGAAAACTTTTTTCTCTCTCCATAGGCAGAGGTTGACCAAACTGTTTGTGTAATCTGTTAACAACGCTCATTATATACCCGTCTTTTTAGGCAAGAACCAGATAATGAGTGTCACGTCATGAAATGGTTTTAATACGAAGGGAGCTGTGTTACGTGATGACAAATTTAATAAAAACATCGTAAGTTAGGCCTATAATAGTAATGATTTAATTTCAAACAACAAATATATTATATAGAGAAGGTGAGCAAAGTATCAACAGAGCTTTTTGAAACTCTGAATCAGTAAAACACTGCGTCGCAAAAAGATTCACTGTTTCGAAGCGCTCCAGTCGGATCCCCCCATCCCCCCCGCAAATCGCACCCTGTGCCTGAAGATAAAAAGAACTGAAATCGAACGCATTCCTGATGGTAACAATCATGACATTAAACATTTGGGTCGGACTTGCGTGTATTTTTGCCACATTATTTTAACCGCTTGATGTAGGCTACTGCTAATGTTAGCGTCCTCTCAGCCTTGTCGACAAACATACTGCTGTTCTTTCTCCAATGCATAATGTAATCAACAAATGAATTACTTTATATTGAGATGAAAACATGTACTGTAGTGTACTGTATATATACCTTTTCGCTGTCTGTGTTTTAAACATGCATTTGAAGTGTCAGCGTTGTCCGTGCACCGCGCTCTCTCCAGGCAGCTTGCGCTCTCTTTGCAACGAACAGTACAAAAGCACGTGCTTTACAGCGATTTTCCCCTATAGAGGCGGCTCTTGCCATAGATATATATGTTGGCTCTTGCACTGTATAAGGACAACAGACCGTTCTCAGCCGCTTCAGCTCTGACGCAACCCGGAAAAACTATCGGCGTGGATTTTTGCCGATAACCGATAGTTCCGGGAATCAACTATCGGTGCCGATTAATCGGCAAAACCGATAGATCGGTCGACCTCTAGTTTCGGCCATCCGTTGTAGGCCTTGGAACGTATCACCCGCAGACAAGGGGCAACTGCTGTACTGGGTAAAAGCTTACATTATTTTCACTGCACAAGGATTATCGTTTATTTTCTCTCTCCATGCTAGTGTTTGCTGCATGGTGTGTTGTAGCAGAGTGCTTGTGGTGGAAAATGTTGTTTGTTTTTAGATGTTTAATTAGATGACTTGTGTTGTATGGATTTGTTTCATACCTCCTCTTGATATTTTGTCAGAGCACAGTTTGCAGTCCGTTATAATATTTTTTTTCCATTAATCTTGAAGTGCTTCCACACTGCAGACATTTTGTGGTCCCGTTCGTTTCACTTAATGAATTATCAGTGATATTGTTATTAAGTGGTATTGATTTATGGGCATCAGTGTATTGTGATGAGGATTAGCACTGTATCGGACCCAATACGAATAATTATTATTGATACCAATGCTCCTCTCTTACGCATCATTATATATGAACTCTTGGTTCTAGCTCACAGTGGCTTCCAGCAGTCATTTCAGTGAGATTAACAGACTTTGCAGCAGTGAAATCTATTATTCGATAAAAATGTAAAGAATATATACTATATCAGTTTTTAATCGATTTACTAATAATTTAAATTTGCACTGTAATGGTGCTACAGTGCTATACGCTCAGTGTTTATGACTATTACTCTCCCAAGAGACACTTTGTTTATTTTTCTCCATTCCATCTATTTGGTTCAAATTACTATTTGGATCTAAGTGTTGGAAATATATTCAGCATGTTACCCAAAACACGACTGTGAAATAATTTCAGTCAGAAATTTGTATTTTTTGTTTTATAATGCTGGTTCTTTTTTTAAAATAAGAAACCAGCTTTAAAAAGTTTCTCCCCCAATTTAAGTTTTACCCATGGGAACTTGTCCAGCTAAAAAAAATTTTTCTTGTGCTTGATTCAGCTCTTTCTTGGGTGGGTGGCTGAGTTGTCGGTCTTGATTGTAAAATGCATAGTAGAGAAGGGGGGGTTGGACAAAGGGCCATATCACTGCTATTCAGTGAAAACTGTGTATGTCCATTTTTTGACAATTGTGACTTTTTACTATCGATGGAATATGCCCATTATCTGCCTACTGGTAGCATTTGACACATGACCAATGATGGTATGTTTTTTTTGAAGTTATCTATTTAAGTAGTATTTGTTTGTACTAGGTATTTATGGTGGTCATTCGTATGGATTATAAACTAGTTAGCTTAATTACATCATTAACTGTGAATATCAAGCGTGATTAGTTTGTATCTTGTTAACACTGACATATTTGCGCCTCTGACAACAATCCAAGTCCATTTCAAACATTAAACTATTTGCTGATGGCTGTTTAAAGATTTAAAAAAAAAAAAAAAAAAAAAAGATTTTTGAAGGTTTCTATTTGTTGTTCTAAGCTTGTCTCATTACGTGTTCTTAGGTTTATTTTGTAAAGTAGTTTCTGAGAAAATGCGCTTCTAAAATAATGGCTTTTTGTTTTTCACTTAACAGCGATGATATGCACTTTTCCTTGATTGATTTTTCTGACTTAAGAAATTCTCCTACTTAACATGTCTGCTAACCTTTTGGAGATGTCCTTGTTTACATTGCAGTCTTGACCTCAGCATTGATCCTCAGAAAATAGACGCCGTTGTTATTTTTAAGCTGTTGATCCCGCCCATAAGTTCTGCACTTTTAGGAACATGTAGGGTCGTTTTGTGTTTACTCACAAGCCTCTTCGCTTCTTTTCTAATCAGGATACATGTACAATCACACCGTGACTTATTTCCATGGGTTTATTTAACTTGTATTACATACTGCTGCCTTGTCTTCTACATCCCTTTCAATCCTCTATCACGGTTTGTTACCTCCAGAGGGTCTATAACCCTGGAGTCCCAAGTTAATCAGGGGCTGAGAGCTTAAGGCCACAATAAGCTATGCTTTTCTGATTTGTACAGCACTTCAGTCAACTCTGGTTGTCTGAAATGTGCTATAGAAATAAACTGAACTTGAAATAGTAGGATATGCTGGTTATCTTGTAATAAAGTTCTCTTGCTCTCCTGGAGGGGTGCGGAAGGGGGGATAGATGTCTAGGGTACTGTTCTCGTTTCCTGGTTCAGACCTTCTCATATATCCTGGAATCCTGATACATAGTGACGGCACTGGGAGAGATGATTCTGAACAGGAGAACATCTCCGTGCAATTCCTCTTACTCTTGTTCCAGCCGATTTTGGGGTGGTAATCTCGCTTCTGACAAAGCCTGCGTGTCCGCAGATGCAGAGCTGGAGTGTGGATGAGCTGAAGGCCAAGCTGGCTGCCCTGGAACCTCAGATGGAGCAGGAAATCAAGGAGATCCATCAGCGCTACCAGACCAAGCGCCAACCCATCCTGGATGCCATTGAGGCTAAGAAGCGTCAGAAGAACTGAGAGGGGTGGCATTCCAGACCCGATCCTTTTCCTCCATGCTGGAGAAGACTTTTGGCCAATACTTATTCCACAAGCTGGACTTTCACTGTCAAACAGAGGTCTCCTTATTCCTCATTCTTCTAATGCTTGAGAAATGACCATGTAGTGCTGTGAACAAAAACTGCCAAATGGGTGTTTTTTTAAGCATGTTTCTCCTGTCAAGGTTTGGAATACCTGTTACTCCAAACTATTTCAGTGATCACTTTTGGTACTGGATATCTCCCCCCCCCCCCCTTCCCCAGGAACTGGGTATGAAAAGACTGTGGTACCGATATTCAACCTGTGGTTTATGTTACATCTCGGTTGCCTTGTTTGCATCTGTTCTGCTTTGAATAGGAATCTAGGGTTGAAAGGTTACAAATTCACCAGTTTGAAATAATTTGAGTTACATTGCGAATTGTCATATTTTAGTGCTCTTTCGGTACTAATGGTTTTAATTCACACACCTTAACTTGGTAAGCTCTCAGGAGTGATCAATACAGTGAAGTATGTCGCAACTTATGCAACTAGCCAAAAGAAAGGGACAATGTTCGGAAAACCCAAATGCTGATCGACCCCTTTGGGTTACATGGACTTTTCCTGAAGAGTCTTTTGTTTCATGGTATGAGATCTGGCAAAAAAGTCGCCTCTTTAGACTATGGTGCATTTTTGCTTATTATCTCTTTCTTATTTTCAGCAAATAATCACTTAGATTCAGGGAGTTTTAACTGTGCATTTCATACATTCCAGGTTTTAGGAAACAAGAATATATTTTTAAAATAGCTGTTCCTTAATATTACAGGAAATGTAGCTGAGTTTTTCCTAACCAGGTGTTTTCATGTGTAACCTGGCAACTCAGGTCAGATCTGTTCAGGTTCTGTGGTGTATAAATGTGTAAAAAAAAAAAAAAAACCATGCTGAGAATATATAAAATGGATAATCTGACAGAATCTTATTTTGATTCGAGAGGGACTTCAGTTTTATTGCGTGACCCAGCACAGAACAGTGTCCTACTCATTGTTCTTTATCCTCTGAGGAATATGATTTATTGTATGTGTATATATGGAACTAAAACTATGAACTGTGTGTTGAATAACCAAATGACCCCTTGATGATGTTGCATTGACACTGTTTTTTTTTCCTCTTGAATGCTGTAGTAGTTATATCACTGGAAGACATTACGTCTTAATCTGAATGAAGAACCAAGCCGAAGCGTGGTCCATAACTTGAGATTCGTTAATTTTTGTACATGCCTTGAACTTATCAGTGTTTTGTAATTTTGTTTTTAGAATGTTTTATGAATTAAAGGTTTTAGCTACTAATTTGGTCATTGTAGTATGATTTGGTTGCAGCAGTGCTGTCTGAGTCATGCCCTTATACATATCAGTGATTAATCTGTTTTGTGAAGGTAATAAAATTTCAGAGAAGACGCACAGGTACGCAGCCATTGAATGACAGGTGCATGCTCTTAATAGCAGACAAAACGCACTTAGTCCTATGTAGCAGACTTGTTTGTTTTAGGAGCTAAGTTTTATTGCCTTGGCATTGTATTTCTTTGACCTGTCCTTTATTGGCCAAAACAGCCTGTGAATAAATTTTTAATGGGGTGACTAAAAATATGAGTCTGTCTCCACTGCAGTCTGTCTGTGGGTGTTTATTTAATGTGCCAAGAGGGTAAAAAAATGCTTAAGCTGCTCACGTAATCAGATTACCCTTGTTTGTCTAGTTTAAGGATAGGTTAACATGCAGGCAGCTAACTAGTAGTTTAATAAGTGCTGGGAGAGAGTGGAAATCAGTTACCAGTACCACAAAACCAATTTATATACTGGTTAAAAACAATCTTTAGAACTCCATTATGATGAACTTTTTAAAAATAACTTAACACCAATATTTTGTTTACTTGTTTTATTTGTACTTCATACAGTTTTGAAACTCTTTTTATTTCATGGCATTGACAGTTTCATACCTGTTGATACAGTAACTATTTACAACAGAAATTCAAGTTGAATATTATTTTTCCAGGGTTCAGCTTCTGTGCCCCTTATCACATGACTCCGTAACAAGTTTACCAGCCTGGTTAGTTACCTCTTTTAGTTAATAAAAAAAAAAAATGTTTTTAGTGTAATTGACTTAAATGCATCATGCTCACGCATGCCTAACATGCCTCTGTACTGAATACATTAATCTACATTGTGTCTTCATTACTAGTTCCCTTACACAAGGATATTTTTTTTATTACATTTTTAAATGTATTTAGCAGCATTTGTCTTTGGTAACCGCTTACTTGCTTTGAAAGCACTGAACCTGTGAACCCTCACTTTCCACAGTGAAATCTAAAAGCTGCACTTTACTCCTTATGCCTGTGTACCCTTAAGTGTGCTCCTTCCAGATAAACAATATCACTGTTTCTTCAGCGGCAAAGCACAATGGAGCTCATCATTATTCTGGAATTTTTCCAGGTTCTACAGCAAGGTAAATAAATCAGAAAGGGAGCCTTTGGATATGAGTTGTCTTTGGCAATAGAGACCCCTGTGGTACCAAATAACCATTGCGACTACACTGCTTCTTCCAAGTCAAGGCCTTTAACCGAGGACTGTGACGCTCCACTCAGCAGACGGTATTGTCTCAGAAATGAAAATGTAATGATACTGAAATATTAAACAGATATTTCAACACCTGCCGTTCCCCTCGCCTTGACAGCGATGAGATTAGCGACGGCAACTTCCTGCACCTTCCTGTGGTGGAGGAAGCTGTAGACTGACAAGCTGTGGTGGTGCATGTTGTGGCTGCAGACCACAGCTTCTTCAGTGAAGTACTGCTTAATACAAAATATCGGGGGGGGTTAGCCTGTCTGGACAACGGTGACATCATTGCATGAACGTCTTGCCGGTTGCGTAAAAAGGTTCCAGTCCCACTGTACGTTAAGCCTCACAGCAGTGACTCATACTTATGTGCCGAGCAAAAAACCAAGCTTCACCTTACAACAGGCCGGTGGTGATGCTTCCGAATGCTTGGTAAATTCCTACAGGGAAGGTTCTGGTTTCGATAAGAGGCAAGAATCCCCGGCCGTTCCAGGAATCCAGCTTGGGTTACACTTAATGTGCCCCCACGCAGGGGGGGTGCTCCCGCCTTGGATGGTTTACAGCATTATGGGCACCCATGAATTAGCAGCACAGTGCGTCAGGTCTCCATTTTGACATTAAGAAGCGAGATCTATATAAAAAAAAAAATGTGGTAAACGATGCTTTTCTCACTAGAGTTCAGGTTTGCTCTCACTGGATCCTCACAAAGTCTGTATTTCTCTGCTTTTAGTTCAGGGTTACCTTTTACCTGTTCATGAATTAGCTGGTTACATCACTGATTTGAATCCCATCACAGAATGTATAGAATGCAGTAGCTGTGCTCGGTTTGTGGATATTTCATCTTTCTCTTTTTAAATGAATCCATGAGTATGATACGCCAAGTTCATTCTTCTCAAGTTTATGACAATCATGTTATAAGGTAAGTCAGTCCCAACATTCAATAATAATTCATTCAGTTTTACTAATTATCTAATGATGGGATCACATACAAGGGCAGATTAACTTCTCTGGGGGCCCTAGGCTGACTTGGCTATGGGGCCGCCAAAGCAGGCCACTTGAGCTATTTTTTGAGTTGAACGAGGAATGAGAGAGAATGAAAAACGAGGTGATGCCAATAAGAGAGAAGGGAAGGAGAAACGGGAAGACTTGAAGGGGCCCAGACATTAATGACTAGGGAAATGGAACAATCGATCACATATAAGAAATGCATGAGTAAGTATAAATGTATCCCCTTACCATTATATAATTAATAATTAAATGCATTCATAGATATCATTTGAAGATAATTAGAAATGCTATCAGTTCTACTCGCCGTTGCAAAGATAAAGTCCGGAAAACCGTAGGTACGTCATTCAAATGAGATAAAATGATTTAATAGGAATCCAGCTGCAGCTGTTTCTATCGTTAAGAAAAGATACTTTCATGTGTCATTTGTACAGGTATGTAGAAATTCCCTTTTTTGCACATCCCATGTGAGAGCTTGGGGTTAAAGGGCAGAGTCGGTCATTTATACAGCAGCCTTTATGTTGCTGGTCGTTTTGTTAAAATGAAATTATGATATAATATTTTTTCATTCTTCTTCAGAAGAAGAACATGTGCTCTAGTAGAAGGACAGATATCATTTTCAGTAGCTCAAAACGTTTCTTTCTGAACTTTTCTCATTGCAGATTTCAGCTTCTCCTGTCAAGGGAATCTTAAATTACTCGTGTGCATTGTCTTACAAGCAGCAGCTGAAGCTCTCCTAAGCTGTTTGAGAAGGTCGGGATAGAGTTGGAACCCACTGTGCTGCTGCTGGGGCCAGTCCTGATGAGATGCATCAATCCCCCTCCAGCTGTCTCCTTCTGTCCTACTGGGATCATTAGGCCACATTTATAAGACAAAAACATGTTACCGGAGACTTCAGTTCTGTAGTATAATAACATTGACCTTCTTCAGCAAGGTTGTAACTGGATTCTTTTCTGAATCAATGTGGATGCAGTGTATAGTGACAGAAGTGAACATCTCATACTTACAACAGCATTTCATATAGGACATCAAATTTAGAAATTAACTCTCTATACCAGTGGTAATTTTGAATGTATCTACAGGAATAACAAATCTCAAAACTCGGCATTACCGAACAGAATAAGGACAGAAGCCCTCCTTATAGAAGAACACTAGCTTATTGATTAATAACAGCTGCTGTTGCCATGGAGAGAAATCCTGGGGTTGTTTTATCTCAGTGGTTGAATTGTGTCTTTGGCTCTTTGGAGCTGCAAAGAAGTAGTTCAGGCTTTCAGAAGTTCCTTTATTCTCACTACAGGCGATCTCCTTTCAGCTGGAACCGCATGGTCAACATAGCTGTAGTTCACCACCCCTCCCTCTTCCTCCCGCCTGTCTACCACTTCCTCATCATCCTCCAGCTCTTCCAAACACTGGCTGTCGCCGTCCGACCCAGCATCCACCTCCACCTGTGCTGTGGCCGGCCTCTTCCTGTTGCTGTTACGCACGGAGGCCTCGAGGGCCTTCTGCTTGCGGTAGAAGTGGGAGAACTTGTTGAAAATGATTGTAATGGGCAGTGCCACCACCAGCGTGCCACCCAGGATGCAGCCAGAGGCGGCCAGCTTGCCGGCAACGGTGACAGGGACCACATCACCATAGCCCACCGTGGTCATGCTGACCGTCCCCCACCACCAGCAGGCCGGGATGGTGTCCATACCCACGTCTTCCTCATATTCGGCGGTATATGCCATGCTTGCGAAGACCGCCACGCCCACGCCCAGGTAGAGCAGCAGAATTCCCACCTCCCGGTAACTGTGCTGCAAAATCCAGAGCAAACATGGAATGAGAAACCTCCCATCAGACACAACCTCCAAACTATGTACCTCTCATCCACTCATCTGCAGTATTTGCATTATGATTGCACTGCACTACGTTACATTCTCTCACATAATCTATTGTAATTCTACTTATTGTGTTACTGCATTTGCGCATTGTGCATTTGTGACCTGTGTCCTGCGTTTGTGTTTATCATAAGGACGTGCAGAGTAAGATTTTTATAGCATAGTGGAACTTACTGTTTACTGCGTAAAAGACAATAAATTCCTGAATCTTGAAGTCTAACATGTAATGCAGCATCGAAGCAATGGAACTCGAGAGCAGCTAACCAACGAAAATGTGGCTAAACAAGAAGACTATAGAGATGGAGGGGGACAGGAATACCTTTATATCCTGGAGGCAGGATATAAACTCCAGGTTCATCCCGGAAAATAGAGGCCAGCTGCACATTCAGGACAGGGATATAACTGAAGGAGAAAGGCTGGAAAACACGGGGTCGGTCTAGCAGCTGTCTGCCCTGAGCAAACCACCAGTGCTTTCCTGGACTGTTATTTTACTCCAGAAGATGCTACCAAAAAAGGGCCTTAATGGAAGGGGAGAACATTTGGGAGCCTGCCCCTGAAACATTTATCTGACTATATATGTCTTGTTCCTCACACTTTGATGAGTTTTTATTTCCTTTCATTGTGAATGACATGTAGTAAATGTGTAGGAAAGAACAGCACGGCGATGGGAGATATCCATGCACCCGGTCCAAGATCTGCGCGTACTAATGCGACAGCTCAACTGCATTTGCCACTAATCATGTTACACTGAGAGATCAAATCTCCTTGCTTATGTGGCAGACATCTGCAGCATAAAGATCAGTCATCCATGAAAAAGTGTCTGGATGATTTTATCAAGAAGCATTTGCCCTTTGTCTTAATTGCTTAGGCACATTCCTTGAACTACAGTTATTTTTCTGCACACACTTTGTTTAATGCGCCACATCAACAATGCATTTGTTGGCAGCATTTTAAGCATTTCCAACAGCCGTAATGGCCGGTTTATTGTCTGATTAGCCGTAGTCATAGTATTAGTATAGTCATACTATTGTGTGCAGCACAATGAGATGATAATTACAATAATTACAGTAGGAGGCAAGACATACTGAATTTGCTGTTCTTGCTACCTTTTTAATGTTACTATTATAAATATCCATATCATCCACAGGAAATTGCCAGTTAGTCCTGTTACTTTTCAGCATGATTACTTGAAGGATAATTTCATTTAGGGATTTTTCACAAGCCGTAATGCTTAAAAGTGACACTAGTGGCAGCATATCAATTCTCTTTATGCTTTCCATTAAAATTTTAAAAAATGCAGGAACATTATGGTATAATTAAGAAGACGGGACAAAACAAATCAGTTATTTTGTGCCTGAGTAAGTACTCTTGATATACATTTCATATTTCCTTGAGCCAGCAGGAAACAGAGCAGCAGAATATTAGCCCCACTTAGGAAAGCCCAGCTGGCCCTGATAGGGCATTGTTAAAAATAAACTGAGCCAGATTGTTCCATTTGGGTCAAAGATTAGGGATTCCGGGTTTGGTATCTTCTAAGTTTAACATGTTTATTGTGTATCTTTTGAGTGTCTTTATTTTTCATGTATTGAAAACTGTTTATGTTATTGATTCATATTAATATTATGTATTTAATACTACATATGCAATCATTCAAGTTGAACTGAAGACACATAAACCAATCAATCCAAATACGTTCAATGGCACTAATCTGATATCTGAAACATCTTTTCATCAACCCTAATATCCCTTCATTAATGACACAATGAATCTGTCTAACAGTCCCCACCAACCATAACTGCTCTTTCAAAAGTGACTCATTTTCTATCATGACCCACCAATGGTTGAATGCAATACATTTCAGTACAACAGATGCTTGAGAATGAACATCAAGGTGTTGCGACTGAGCTCACCCGCAATGTGGCACCAAGGGACCTGAGGCCTGTGGAATGCCTGGCGAGTTTCAGAACCCGAAAAATCCTCATGAGGCGCAAGACCTGCACTACCTTCCCCACGTTTCCAAGCTCCATGTCGCTGTTGGCCACCAAGTCGAACAGGAGCGTGATGTAGATGGGCAACACAGACACAATGTCGATCATGTTTAGAGGGTGCAAGAAGAACTTCTTCCTGTTGGGTGCCAGGAGCATGCGTGTCACCACCTCAAAGGTGAACCAGCAGATGCAGAGGACCTCCAGGGCCTGCATGGTGGGGTCTTCTACCAACTTTCCATCCTCGTCAAAGTGCTGATATTCCGGAATGCTGTTGATGCACATGGTGGCAATGGAGGTGAGTACCACAGTAATGGATACAAAACTGAAGAGCTTACTAGGGATGGAGTATCCCGGATTCTCCAGCGTGAGCCAAAGGCACCTCCTCATGTTACCACAGCGCATATCCTGAAACAGCTGGATGTCCTTGTTGAGGTCAGATATCTCGTCCACAGAGGTGTCCACGCTGCTGGCATCGCTGTCCTCATCCCAACTTTTGTGCCGGCTCTCCAGCTTACGGTCGTGGTAGCGGTAGCTGCAGCAGCTATCGAGGAAGAACTCGCTGATGCCCCAGTACTCGATCTCCTGGCAGAAGGAGAAGACGCACAGCTCCTCCATGATGTGCAGCTTGCCGGTGTGGTAGAAGTGGAGCACATACGGGAAGAGTCTTGGGTTGCGGTCGAAGTAAAATTCCTTCTGCTGCACATCGTAGTCGTCGCAGACCTGCAGGACAGCTTCCTCGGAGTCACAGGTCAGCAGGCGGCCCAGGCGTGTTTCGGGGAACTTTCGCAGCGTGCTGGAGGATAGACTCTGCTTCAGGCCCCCAACGTTGATGTGGACCAGCTGGTCCTCACGGTCTAGGACCCAGATGGGAAGGTTCTTGTTCACCATGCTATCATTTGCTGTAAGACAACGAAGTGATTCATTTCTCACGAGGTTCCTATATTTTATAAATGTTTTTTGTCCAATCCAGGGCTGGACTGGCCATCTGGCATATCAGGCATTTTGCCAGTAGGCTGATAGGCTCATGGGTCAGCAAAATTATAATGGGACCCCTCACCCCCTAGGTCAGCAAAATTTACCAAGGGGGACCCAGTCCACCCCTGGTCCAAACCCATTATTTTAGTTCAGAATAATTTAAGAAATCCATGACATGGATAATACAGTAGAAACCGCTTATAGTGAACACATTTGTCTTGGTGAAATTGATAAATGCTATACTACAGTACAATACTGTACATGATACTCAATTCAGTTTTATTTATACAGTTCATTTTCACAACGTTACATTGTCTCAAAGGGCTTATTGTAGTTTTGTGGCTCATTTTTTGGTGATTTATCATAAGCTGTGATGAGTCTATATTTATAATTGAGAGAAAATGACTTTCTTAGGTAGCTAACCACAAGCAGATGGGTTACTGTAAGGCAAAGTAGGATGATCAAAGTAATGTTTTTAGTTTTTTTGTTTTTTTTAAATCCGCAGTTCATTTTTTTTCCATTTGTTGTGATGTTTAAAAAGACCCAAAATGAACATTGTACAATAAGTGAACTATTTAAACCATATTTATACAGGAATGATTCTGTCCCAAGCTTTTTGATCCATATAAGCGGTTGATCACTATAACCGTGAACACTATACTAGCCACTGTACTATTCTTCTCTATCTCCACTATGATAACCCACCTTGAAGATATTAAAATGTTATGTTAGTTATTTTTTTGGTATTTTTCTGTCCAAAAATCCAAAAACGTGAAGTTATGCGAATAGCTTCCTGATGCTTTTTTGTTCCTAAATTGGGATTTCTTCAAATGGCAGGTGGCAGGAACATCCAGGTTAAAAAGAACTCTCATTTTATGTGATTTTCAGAAAACATCAAACAGGATATTACATCACAAGGAAGACCTCGAGTGACTGTCATGGTGCAATCACAAGGCAATCTCCATAAAATATTTAAAAATTGGTTAAAATTGGCTAGTCTAGTTCAACATTTCATGTCTAGTGGTATAACATAAAAAATAAATGTGTTTCTATTGTTCTATTTGTTCTTAAAAATCTGTGCAGGTGCATGGGGCCAAGGGCCAAAGCCTATAGGGGTGTCAGCAAAAGCACAGAGAGAAGTATTAAATTATTAAAGTATTATTCCTAGTCCTGGGTTTCATTACCCTACTAGTAAAATACTAGTTGCACATTTCATATAGTTCATAGCATCATTGTTAAAAACTTTTAAAAATTTCACTTGCAATGTTCATATATACATAATATTTTTAGATATGTGTGTTTCCGCCACATGACATTTTCCAGGTTGTGATATTAGTTATCCTGTTTAAAAATAATTTAAAATGATACATATGGTACTATGGTACTACAGTATGCAGGACACAAAAATGCACTTCATGTGCACAAGAATATTTAAATGTGCATTTTGAAAACATTATTTGCATATGAGCAATGTTCCACACTGTATGAGATCACAGGGGACTGGGTGCCTCTCCTAGGCAGCACAGGATATGAGGATGTGGAACAGCCTGGATAGGGTGCCAGTCCATTGTAAGGCACACACATGCACACATCCATGCACACACACATGCACACATCCATGCACACACTTTGGGCGATTTAGAGAGACCACCTTACATAGGTGTGTGTATTGGGATGTGGGAGGAAATTGCAACACCAGGTGGGAATCTGAGCGACACCGGGAGATCATCCGAGCTCCACACACACACACACACACAAACACACACACACACACACAGACCTGTAATCATATCTTTGTGAGGACCGCTCATTCATTTCTATGGGAAAAATGCTAATGCTGACTATGATAACCTTAACCCCTACCCAGCCCTAACTATAACCATAAGTACCCAAACAAAACACAAGACTTTTTGCATGTTTAGTTTTTTCATTGCAGTCACGGATTTTTAGAAAATTGAGTTTACCCTTATGGGGACCTGGAAAAACGGGTATTCATCACATTGTGGGGACATTTGGTCCCCATAAGTTAAGGTATATCCAAACCACACACACACACACACACACACACACACACACACAGTGCAGGGAGAGAGGATTCCAACCCACAGCCCTGGATGTGATCCACTGAGCTGGTACATTAATATAAAACACACAGAGAGGAAATCCCACCTCACTCTGCTTCTTCTCTTTGTGTTGCATGTGTTTCCTCTTGACACACTTTCCTCCCGCAGTCCAAAGACATGCACTTAATTGGCATCTCTAAATTCCCCCCACTAGGGATTTGCATGTGTGAGTGCACTTGTACATGTGCTCCAGGACTGAGGGACATCCCAGCAAGAGGGTTCCCTTGCTTGTATTCTAGGTTGTCAGGGAAAGACTCCAGGCCACCTACAGACCAGTACTAGATAAGCAGTTGAAAGACGTCAAGTATCATTAGTAATATTAGGGGTCCAAGCACCAGCGGTCATTGGATCCGTATTATTTTTTGTTGTTGTTTTTGTTCTTGTTACCTCGCTCTATTCTTAACAGGTATCTTAATTCCTAAAATAGACTCTTAATTACTTATGCTTGGTCAGCTTGCAAACACTTCAGAGAATGACACAGCTGGTTCCATAACATCAGCAATCATTTCAGTGACACACAAAGCTGCACATCCTGATGCTGCTGTAGCAGAGAACCTTACAAAAGCTGAGTAACAAAGTAAGTAATGCACAGTTCCAGGAAGAGAGAAGATAAAGCAAAGGCAATCATACAGTTCTAGTGCACTTTAACAATAATAACTTGCATTTGTCAGTGACTATGTAGCACTTGCTATGCATAAGGAAAACAATATTAATTTCCTTTGCAGATAATCATGTATACTGCATTGTGTGTGTACTTCAAGACTCGCTGTTTAATCTTATGAAACAAAATGAAGAAGAGTACCCAGTGCATACAATACAATACTACGAAAATACCACAGAGGCATAATCAATATTAAATATCAATATAAATTAGGATGGCTTGTGTATGCTGGATAATATTTGCACTGACATTCAGCAGTAATGCAAGGTGAAACACAGACAGGCAGACAGACAGACAGACAGACAGACAGACAGACAGAGAGACAGACAGACAGACAGATAGATAGATAGATAGATAGATAGATAGATAGATAGATAGATAGATAGATAGAATACCATTTATATACCTCAAATCTGCTTCAAATGTAAATCGACACTATACTGTATTTCCAAACACCATGTAACAACCAGGAAGGATGCCCGGCATGTTACTCATAAAAAGTTTATCAATAATTTAGAAGAATGAGGCTATTCAGTTTGAATCACTGTCCTACAATACAGGGTACGTAAATCCTGCATATACGGATCGATTCGTCCATGACTAACGGGGGGCCAGCGAAACACGATTAAAACAACAAATATGTGTCCTTAGTAACTGGGCAGGTTGTTAAACTACTTCATCTATCCTTAGGAATTGTTTCAAATGAGGGCAAATATAAATAGCACGATCGCCGGAGGTAAATATAACGGTATTTATAACTCCAAGTAACATGTGAAGCCTACCTGGAGAGGAAGATCTAAGACGCCTTCGTTCTTCAGCTGAAAGTGTAAAATCAAAAAGCGGTCCCGGTCTATCCCATCTAAGGCTGCCTCGTCGGGCATCACAGACTCGTCCGCCAATTGTTATCTGAAAGTCTGATCTCAGTCGCTGCGATTGATTTTATATTTATTTTTAACCACGAAATAAATCCGTTCACCGGTCCAAAGCAGCCCGGTGCCCCTCAATTACCGCAGCTGGCTGCCCCCTGTCCCGCTGCAGCGTCCTCTAATCTGATCTGCGCCCAGTTTCCGCGCTCCCTCTACACAAGTTGATGTTTAATGCGACTTGCCGCAAGAGATCGCGTGGATGCTATTTCCATAATGATCCCCCCTAGCGTTTTTAAATAATAAAAAAGAATAAAACATCCGATGGGCTTTGTTTTTTCCTCCACACAACCTCTTCTAATCGTTGATACAAGTTGAGTCAAACTGAAAGAGTAATTTTAGTAATTTTGCTGATCTGGTGAACTTTCCCCCGAAACTTGTCGTTCTTTATGTAGTTATTCAGGCGATCCTTTTAATAAAGAAAGTGAGGTAACCTACGTCTCTACGTATGGCGTGTTATTGTGAGAGAATGGACCCTGAGCATCCAGACCAGGGTGTATCGCTGCCTTGTTCCCTTTGCCGTCCAGGCCCCCAACTCGGAGCTTTTTTTCAGTTAAAACAACTGTGAGGACTTCACGGGAGCTTGAGAATTGTCCATTTTAAACTTTATCAGACATGTTGAAGCAGTCATTTATTTTCCTTTAATGCCCAATGTAAGACTTCAATTCGGTGCAACAATTCCATTACCTTTATTGTTGGCTGATATATATACAGTAATATTACGTTTTTATTTTGTTAACCAGTAAACAACTGTATGAGATATTAAATGGTAAATCACACGCCCTCTGTTTAAACCATCAGTTCAAATTTATGTGTTTAATAATAAAGTTTAATGTGGCTTTTTCAGTTATATATTATATCATTCTACATAGGCTATATTCATATTCATTCAGCTGAAGATAGGTAAAAACGTACTACTGCTGACCACAGGGGGGATGTTAATTGTGTCTAAAATTCATAATCGCATACTTTAAAAACAGCAAATTCTCACCAGTTTATAGTAGTGTGGTTCTATTTGGGTTTTAATTGGGAATTTAGTAGTAGCTAGGATACTACTATGAGTAGCCTACAGAATGGTTGTATCTTTTCGTAAACACGAACACTATAACAAGTAGTACAAAAATTAACTCAAGGTTTTTTCCGGCTAATTTTATCGCAATAAAAGGTCTGCTCTCAGTACATGAGCTACTTGTTTGAATTAGACAGCAATGAGATAAATGAACCCCTCATTAAAAACTACGAATAACTGAACATTTAATGAAGGACCTAAAAAAATAATTTCATTTCAGTTCCTTTTATTAGAGTTAAGGTACGTGTTTATTGTGGTTAATCCCACGGCTCTTATAGGTCCCCCATGAACTAACAATCAATAGAAAACGCAATTAAAAATGCACTTGCAGAGGATCAACACAGCGGGGTCGATAAATGCCAGTTACACCACGAATCTAAAATGGCTATATTATACGGCATTTATTTTGGTTAAGAAAGAGCGCTGACTTAAGCTCTGATCAGTACACCGCTTGCAGCAAAACTGCTTCTTGACATGTCTTAAAACGTTTGGTCGTGCACCCCATAAATTAAACCAGTGCATTATTCTCCACTTTTCTTTTTACAGATAGGCCTATCTGGGGACAATATCTGTAAAAAGAAAAGTGGAGAATAATGCACTGGTTTTATTAACGGGGAACAACAACAGCATGCAGTTGTATCAATCACAGGGTTGATAAAAGAAATGAACTAGAGAGCAGGAGCTGTGCACCGTACAATAAGATTGTGTTTTGGTTTTTGGCTGAAACTTGCTCCGTTGTTGTGGCAACAAGGACCCGAACATTTAAATCAAAGTAACCCACACACAGAACAGATATAAACCGTTCATTAGAAAGGTTTTATCTGCACGATCCTTTGTGTTCTATATTTATACATTCAAGTGAAAATATTAGGACACCCCATTGAATAAATCTTTATTAAGAAATATAAAAATATCAATATTAAATCTTCTTTCAAATGATATATGTAGATAAAGGTGATGTAATTGCATCACCTATGCAAAAACAAGAAACAAATTCACTTATTTAACAAAGGAAATTAAGGTGGCAATTCCTGCTGAGGAAAAAGTTAGGACACCCTGTGCCCTAATAGCTAGTATTTCCCTCTTTGGCTGAAATAACCTCAGTGACACGTTTCCTATAACCATCTCTGACATTGACTGGCAGGAACGCAGAATTCCTTGAGCTGTGTGATGTTTGCATGCACTTCTGCATATTTTGATGGGTTGGCTCCAGGAGAGGAGGTGAGGGGGTGAGCCCTCTGCACCCAGCTGCGGTTATTGAGGTTATCAAGGTTTCCCGGATGTATAAATAGCGCAGAAGTGTAATGATCAAGAGGATGTTCGGCCAAGCTTTCGGTCAGTTTATTATGTTTCTCCTTTTGTGGTAGGTTTTAGAAAGGGGATTAAAACTGATGGCTTTTGATTGGATTTGGCAGGTGTTTTCCCAGCTCTTATCCTCATCCGTTATGAAAGATGTTTCCTTAATTTGTGTAATTGTGAGCTGTGTCTATGTGGGAATGTTGGGAACACCATTGCATGGTATTGCTGTGTTTATTGCACTCACACACACACACACACACACTAAATGGCTCTGATGTTGTGTGCAAGTGCCTGTGTAGGTTGTCTAATGGTGTTCTAATAAAGGTAGCTGTATATTGAGTTTCTGTTGTGTCCTTCCTCTCCATATCCGCATTGTCTCCCAACTCGGTAGAATGAATTTATGTGGAGGGGATACATGCTGGCACTGGGAGTAGTTCAATTCATACATCTTCTATCTAGTGATTACTTCCGTGTGAGACCCTTGCAGTGAGCTGGCCAGGTTCTGCTGCAGCAAACAGCCCCAAACCATGACATTCCCAATGTCTGGCTGATTCCAAACTCTCTTGAGATCTTTTCATATCTTTCCCAGATTTGTATGCATTTACAAGTTTCTTTCTGAAGGCCTCAGAGCTCTTTGGATCTCACCATGGTGATAGCACTCATTTCAACAATCAAGAGCAATCCAAACTAAATATTTGTGGTTTAAATAAGACGGGCTCCACCAAAAAGCTCTGTTATGATGTTCTAATCATTTTCACCTGATGTGGTACACCAGGATCTACTTGCAGGAATTTTAAATAGTGATGAATGTGAGGGTGTCCTAAGTTTTTTTTTTTTTTCCTCAGTGGAAATTAGCATCTTGGTTAATTTCTTTTCGAAATAGGTCAATTTGTTTTTTGTTTTTGCATAGATGATGCCATTTCATCAACTTTATCTACAGATATAATTTAAAAGAAGATTTAATACTGATATGTTGATATTTCTTGATCAAGAACTAAATATTTAATGGGGTGTCCTAATTTTTTCACATGACTGTACATATTTGTAGAATAACAAACAATTAATACTGGAGGTAAAAATAATTAGTGGACTAGTGGGGAATAAAATAAAATCTGACGGTTCTTGGAAAACGCCCACACTGTCATGTCCAGCAGGGAAGGAACGACCCACAGTGTAGGCTGTGCAGGGGTAGTCCCTTGTGGGGATGTTTTACTGGGACTTGACGAGGCAGACAGCAGACGAACAGGCAACAATGACCAGACAAGGAACACTGGACTGAGAAATGCTAATAAACTAAGCTACTGAGGAGAAAACACAAGGCAGCTGTGAATGATCAACAGGAGGGCAGGAACAAGAGGTAAGACTGACAAGTCATAGGCGTGGCTGATGTGGAGCCACGCCTGGGGGAAAACATGGGGATCAGACAGGCTGAGTGGGCTGAACATGACAATACACCCCACACCCCAAAGGTATGTCCTCTGGACATGCAGGACTGACATGAGAAGGGACCCAGGGGACCAGACAAGAGGACGGGATCATGAGGGCTGGAACATAGGGCTAGCTTTGATTAACTGGATGGGGTAGGACACCAGGCAAACGGGCTTTTGTGGCCATGGACCTGGGAAGACAAAACCGAACTTGGAAACAGCAAGACCAGCCAAAAAGAACAATGACACCAGATTCAACTAAAGTATACAGGGGTGGCCTAGAGACAGGGCAGGGTAGGATACCACTTAAAACACAGGACCAGACATCGAACATTGATGGGCAGCCTACAGACGGGACATAGCCAATGACAGGGCAGGTGTGATGACCTCACAGTACAACTAAGGACACAGAGGCTGGGGCAGGACTAAAGACAATAGGGGAAATGACCAAAACAACAAAGACCACAATAAGGCACACAGATGAATGGACCACAGGAACAGCGACCGGTTAGCCACAGGGACCCCAATAAGATATAGACTGGGGGGAAACAGCTGAGCCACCTTTTATGCCTTGATGGGTCAAGATGACCCAGCGGTCACACTTAGTTCGCGGAGTCAAGTAGCATCATGGAAACAGCTGGGCTGGGCCCAGTGGATGCCAAGGAACCCTGAGAACTGGGACTCATGACACTTGCAGGGTAAAAAGGACAGGGGCAGGAGTCAGGACTGGAGAGCCCCAAGGGGTCTGCTGAACAGGGGGACCCCGAGGAGCCGGTAAGGTAGGTGCTGGACCTGCATGGTTGCCCTGGATGGTGTGTCCTCTTTAGGATACAGAGACTTAGCCAGCCCCCTGCTTGGCTGCTTTCTGGGGTTGATGACCTCTTCTGGATTTGGGGTTGACATGGCAGTACTGTTGGCCTGGAGGCTATGGACTCTTCTCCTTGGGCCCCACTGCAGCCCTCTCTTAATGATCGCCTCCCAAAGGGCAGAGATGGTGGCCTCTGGAGAGCAGGAAGAGCAGGTATGGCGATAGCCGCAGGCAAGCAGGTGGGCGAGCAGGCAGGAACCGTCTGGCTAATGGTCGTAGGCAGGCAAGCAGAAGTTGTCTGGGTGGAGTGGCTCTTCTAGGTGATTGTGTCGCAAGAACCTCTGTTGGCGGGAAGAGCACGACCAGTAAAACACATCAAAGCCATCTGGAGGAAGGCAGGATGGAACCAGATCCAGAGCCAGTGCACCTGGACTGGGTGCACTAGTGGTAACTCCTGACCCTGATGCTAGTGGAGCAGTGGTAGCCACTGGACCGGACGCTGACAGAGCTTCAGCTTTTCCTAGGCTAGATACTAGCGGAGCTGCGGGGGCCTCATCAGCAGCAGTGGCAGAGAACTCTCCTGCACCAGTGATGGAGAGTAGGAGCATGTCCAATTGTTCTGGGCTGGATGCAGGTGGAGCAGGCAAAGTGGCCTCTTCTAGGCCAGATGCCTAGAAGCAGCAGCCTTTTTACTTCGACAGGGCGCGGCAGTGATGGGGGCCTCAGCGGGACTAGGCATTGGCAACTGAGCGGCCTCGTCCAGGCTGGGTGCTAGTGGAGCAGCGGCGGCCTCACTGTGGTAGGGCATCTCTGGAGTGGTGGTGGCCCAGTCTTCCAGATCTGTAGTGGAAGAGGTGGCAGGCCCCACTGTGCAAGACGTGGACCCAGTCTGTGACTCTCCATTGTCTGTGCTGGGAGCAGGTTCAGCTGGTGGGTGTGGGTTACTGAGCAGGCAAGTTGCAGCCGACAACCAGCTACCGATGACCATGTGGCAAATTCATTCACCATTCCCTATGTCCAGGGGCGGATTAAGGTGTACAGAGGCCCCTAGGCTACAGTAGTCTTTGGGCCCCCCAACCCCACCCCCCTCCGTGCCAATGGGGGCCCCCTTGCAGGCTGGCACACGTGGGCCCCCTAGGCTTAAGCCATATCTAGCCTGTGCGTTAATGTCTCTCCTCCATGTGGTCAATCCCCTGTTCTCTCTTGCGCTGCCTCCTCCTCTGGTGAGGCTAATCAATGGAGGTGAGGCATATATACGGTCCATTGTTTGTTGGATGTCCATCATAGGGGTGGGGGGCTGCAGTGTTTGCTGGCTTGGGAGAGGTACAGCCCAGAAGAACGGTCCTGGGTACAGACAAGACACATCCTGGACCTTTCTCTCAGGACTTATTTTTTTTGTGACAATCTTCCTACCCACCGTGCACTCCCCTCAGAGGGGGCTAATAATGGGTATTGGGATTGGGATTGACCAAGGCGGAGGCTAAATGAAGCAACATCAGGGATTATTTTCAATTTATATACCATTATGTCTTCAAGGTATTGACAAAATAGATTTTTGTTCCGCATAGAAAATAAAATAAATTTACTGGCCACCGGCTAGAGTTAATGCAGATATTTCAGGGTTGGCTGTGGACAACTGTGGTCAGTGCAGGTAGCCAGCTTTTTATATCTAGCGGAAACCTTATGCATCCGTGCACATCGACCTGGCATGTGCGAGATAATTGATTAGGTATTTCCAGTAGGTGGCAGCGTAGACTTTACAGATCAGCGGTCAACGACAAAGGAGTAGAGGAAGAGTAGATGTTGTAGTAGTTACAATGAGCAGCTGTATGAGGGTCAGAGGTAACCGCATATGTAATTTTTCATATTGTCTGGACATCATATCACATTATACGGTATTTGAAGAAGCAGCACTATTGTGGCATTTTGAAATCTTAATCATAAAATTCGCTGAGCAGGTGGGGATGGTTGGGATCTCGGTTAATTTTGTCGTAAGGAGATCTAAATACTGTGGTTTGCCTTATTACTGTAAAACCGCCCAAGCCTTGACTAATAACTTTTAAGCTTTTATGAACTAGGCTTAAAGGGGCATATCTGTTGTTCCTGGAGCCCCACTAACTAATTCAGATCCCCCCCAGATGTTTCATAAACAAAATAGATACCTAGTGCGTAAACTCATAAGATCGCAGCTAGCGTGCGTATTAGCAGAACACGCTGCTTCAGCATCTCCTAAATAAGGAACGAATTTATTTAATATTTAGTGTAGTGACTGTTTGTGGCCAATAGGAGGACCCTGGTCGATGCGTGGTTGGAGTGGTGGTAAACACACTGAGTGAATATGCATAAATCTTCTAAGCGTGTTACTCTGTTAAATTAGTGGCCTCATTTATAAAATATAGATATCATTTATGTTTTAATTGCTGAATAATTCAATGAAATTAGAGTCGATATGAAATCCAAAAACATGCTACAAAATTATTATGTAATATTTAATGTAAAATGTAATAAAACATGGTATGCAACATAACACAATGCAGGAGTGAGTGTGTGAGTGCGTGTGCCCTGAAATGCACTGCTGTTGAGCTGAGTGTGCTATCGCGTGGCTTTCATTCCTGGGCAGGACAAGACTAACCGTGGGACGTTAAAAGGCTTTAAGTACTGAATAGGATCTGAACAGTATCAGTTACAGGGCAGCATTAGTGCACACGTAGGCAGAGGTGCTGCAAGGTATAATAGCCTAAGTGTAACACAAGAACGTGTAAGACAATCCAGAGTCACGCTGCATTGCTACCAATGTCCCTAAACTGGAGGGTATATATTACACAGGAAAAAAAGACATTTGAAACACGCCTAGCTGAAACCGATTTACCAATGTAAAGTAAATATTTTAATAATCATTCCCAGTTTTGCTTTTATTACTTTTCCTGATCATGTTAACACGGGAAAGCCCAGGATGCAGTGCGTGTTTCTCAGCGCTGCGGGATAATTAAACAGCAGGGGGCACCGTTTAGCTCTGTGTGACAGACACGCTGTCTTCGAATCACTACGCGTTTTTTGTGACTTACCAAGATTTCTCACTCGATCTGTATGTACACGATTTCAGCTGTAGGTATAAAGTTGTGCTTTAGGTATATACTGCACATATGCTGCATAAGCACAGTAAGTCATACCAGCATTACTATACAAAAATGTATTTTTCACAACAACGAACACATCTGACGGTGACGGAAATGATTAAACAATTCAAACTAGATCATGAAACAGACAGAACAGTAAGCTGTCAAGATAAAATATTACAATAAAAAATACATGCTAATATTCTGTTGCTGTTGGGTAACTAAAAAAAAAAAATCCTGCTGGATTTGGTGTTTCTAGTATTTAGGCATAGAATTTTATATGACACAAGAGGCACAGAAATTGTAACAGCTGTTACTATAAATTGGCACATTTATGTTTACAAGGGAAAAAGTGCATAAAAGGATTGTAAATAGCAGCTTTTGAAATATTCTCAAATTCAAAAATACCTAAAACGCATGGGAAAACATGATCTCGACGTTGTACAGGAAAAATGTGTGTGTGTGTGTGTGTGTGAATAAGGCATGAATATATTTTTTTCCAGCTTGAATACTTCAACATATTTTTCTTTGTTTGCAAAATGTGGTTTAATAAGGAAATATTAACAAAATAGTTCAAGTAAAAAATAATGCACATATTTTTGTCATTATTTATCCGTCACTACTCATGTTAATTGATGGTCAGATGGACTTTTGTATTCTTTATCATTATGTAACTGACCCAATACTTACGAAACTTCTCGTCCCTGAAACCATAGATCATGGGACTGAGGAACCGTGGTATGATGTAGACCAGCAGGAAGTTGACGTAGCGAATCTCCAAGCTGTATCTGGGGAAGTACTTGATGAGGAAGGCTTGCATGGAGGGCACCACGAATGCAAGCATGCAGAGCATCAGCTGCAGGCCGTGGAGGAGCACTGTGTTCCTGGCCTTCCTCACAGACTGCAGGTCTCCTGAGGCTGCCCGGGCCACCAGCACTATCTTAAAGTAGGTGTAGAAGAGCGTGAGGAAGATGGAGGAGAGGAAGACTGCGTCGAAGACAAGGTTCTTTAAATAGATGAAGGGGTCAGTGAAGAGCAGCGAATGGTCGCAGAAGATATAGGAGCGGAACAGGTCAAGGGGCTTCTTGGCCAGGGTGATGAAGAGGTCCGTCATGGGCATTGACCAGGACAGCAGCAAGATGGCGCCAATGAGCAGCAGCGTGCGCCCTACCGTGCAGATATGCTGGTTGTGCAGTGGGAAACAGATGGCTGTATAGCGCTCCACCGCCATGCCAGCCAGGATGAAGGGGGTGCAGCGGGTGGTCAGCACAGCCACCATCACCAGCACGCAGCAGGCTGAGGCATGGACCTGGAAGAACACGTAGCTGATCACGAAGAGGGTCGTCACCAGGGTGAGCTGCACTGTGTCATTGATTACCATGGCAATGAACATTATGTAGCGCGGGTCCTCGTAGAAGAAGTTGTGCTTCAGGAAGGTCCCCACCATGCTGCTGTTGATTAAACTCAGCGTCATCCAAACCAGCACAGCCATGATGTTTTTGGTGAATACCGTGAGGAAGTTCTCCCTCAGAAAGCCTGCAGCAACAGCGGTCATGTTTGGTGCGACGACAGATGAATTCATGTTTTTGAGCTGCAAACAAATAGACAGTTTCTTGCTGTGATCTCTGGGATAAATTCTGTGAATACTACAATATGTCCTTCTGACGCCTGGCTTTTTTTCCCCTTTTTTTTCAATTTTTTTTGGCACATGTGAAGCCAAATATCATTGTATTATTTGCATGCATACAGTCTGCACATATAATAGAATCATAACATAGAAAAGTGTAATATATCAAAATAGGAAATCACAATTTAAAGTAAAAAAATATGAGCTACAAAAAAGTGTAAAAAGCAAAAAAAAAAAGTTTTTTATATTGATAAAAATTTTATTTAAAATAAGGAAATGATATAAAATATTTCAAATGAAAACATCCACACAAACTATAAAGAATTCAACATATCAAGTTTTGGATAATAAAGAAATACACATGGCTAGAAATAAGCAATTAATATATTGCATCAGAATAAATATTTCTATAATGCATGATCATTTGGCTTTCACTGTTTCACTGTGAGTTACCTGCTGCTACATTGTTACTGAATATTGCTGCTGCGAATAAGCTGTTTTGTCTTCAGAACATCTCTATTAATAATGTTTAATATCTGCTGTAGTATTGCATTGCTAAAAAAGTCAAATGCAGAAGAACTGTTTGGAATTACAGCCGAACTAAAACCTAGCGGTGTTGCGTGGTGTCTGACCTACCTTGTCTTGTTCAGATACCTGAGGTTACTCTGGGATTTTAAAGCATGGCCCTGCAGTTATGTGTCATTGATTAGGATGTCGTGGGTGATGCCAGAGATGGCATTATAATGAGGGTCTGGAGACAAGGACACCTTGTGAGCTGGGATTCAGGAAGGTGTTTTGCTGCTTTCAGAATCCCAAGTCATTTCCAGAAAAGTCCATCGGTGTTTCTTTTTTTACATTAAGAAAAAAAGCTGCAGCTGTGCTCCTAAGGTCAAGGAAAACGGGTGTCATTATGTATGTCAACATAGGAGGCAAACGCAGAAAGAAGGATGGTATGCAGGGACAACAAGAGATTGTGCTCTGGAGGTAAGATTATCATAAATGATATGAAGCATATGCGTTTATTATATATACTTTATTTAAATATTCAAAAAAGGCAAGATTTTGAAAATATTTACTAACAATAATGGGGAAGTTTTGTCAGTGTGAACATGCAAATGTCCACTCCTGCTTTGAGATACAAGACGTTTATTGTCCGTGTGAGGCAAGTGCAATGGAATGCTGACTCATTCAGCCACACCCGGGACAAAGAACAAGGAGTAATATGCAAATTATTGCAATATACAAAGGAGCCAGTAGAGAACAGACATGCAATAGTGTGGAGACAGCATTTTCTTGTTAATTTATTTTGCTTTGCATACTACAGAAAGACGAAACGTGCCCCGGTGAGGAATGTTCTTTGGTAGGATATGTGATTCCTTTATTGCTCTTAACAAAGAGTGAAATGAGCAATATTTTTGGGAGGGGGGAGGGAGCAGTGATTTTGTGACTCCTCAGTGTCAACAGAGTGTTTCAATAATGGTTTATGGGGGTGGAGTTCAATGACATAAAATCAACAGGAACTGAAATATTATAGTACAATCAAAATGTTGAAAGAAAATGTTGAGGGGATTTGGGGTATTTTAGAAAGTGATCCATCACTGTAACTGCTTAATCCCAACTGTGGTTGCTGGGGGGACTGGAGACTATCACAGGAACAATGGGTGCAGGCAGGAACCAACACACTGCAGGGTGCACACATTCGTGGGCCAACTTAGAGTTGCTTATCAACCTATCCTGCACACTTTTGGACCGTGGGAGGAAACCGGAGCCCCTAGTGGAAACCCACACAAAGAGCATGTGAACTCCACACAGAAAGGACCCAGGACCTTTTTGCTGTAGGGCAGCAGCGCTAACCACTGCACCACCATGCTGCCCACCATGAAATTATTCAAAATGGAAAACACCAGGGCTCACGTTGTCACGGGATACAGGCGGATGTCACCCCCCCTGTGGGGAAAAAATTGAAAACCATCCCATTAATTGAAATATACCATCCCTCTAAATTGTTTTGTGTAATTGTTGGTCATATAAAGATGCTCAGCTGGCGGATTCCGGAATGAAACACAATTTGATCCAGAATGTGTGATCAACCCCACCCCAGCAAATTTTGATCATGTTTATCTATATTTATTAATTAATAATTTATATACTTATTTTTCCTTTCATCTGTATGTTCGGTTTGCAGACTTTTCACTCTGTCTTCTTACACATTCACAGTGCGAAGAATGCTAGTAGGTCTGGCCCGACCAACATTGCAGATAAAATCTCTTTTTAAGTACTGGTAAAACTTTTTGTCCCGAATACCATAAATGATGGGACTTAGAAATCGCGGGAGGATGAACACAATCAGATACGTGGCATAGCGGATCTCTGAGGCATATCTTGGGAAAATCTGGTTAATGGCCAACTCGACGCTGGAAGAAACATAGGAGAGCATGCACATCAGAAGCTGGACTCCATGCAGAAGGATGGTTTTCCTGGCTTTCTGGGCCAAGACCTTCTCTGTGGACAGAGCTTTAGCTGCCCACATGATGCGCAGGTAGGTGTAAACCAAGGTGAAGACCACAAACGAGAAGTATAAAGCGTCAAAGGCCTGCCGCCGGTAGGTCTGTCCGGGGTCTTTGAAAATATTGTGTCGCAAGCAGAAGACAGATGTGTAGAAGAAGCTGATTGGCTTGTTGCTCAAAGTGATGAAGAGGTCAGCTGTTTCTGGGGTAATGCACAGGAACCAGATGAAGCCGATGAGGACGTATGTCCGCTTGACGGTGCAGATCTGGGAATGTCGGAGGGGTTTGCAAACTGCGATGTACCGCTCGAGCGCCATGCCAGACAGGTTGATGGGCGTGTTCCGCGTGGTGAAGATGGCCACGAGGAGGAAAAAGCAGCAAACTGACACATTGATGGTGTACAGGACATAGCTCAAGATGAAGAGCATTATGGTTACCGTTAGCTGGATGGCATCGCTGATTACCATGTGAATGAAGAGGATGTAACGAGGATCTTGGCAAAACATCTGGTGCCTGAAGAAGGTGATGATGACAGTGCAGTTAATGTAACTGAGACTCAACCAGATTGAAACAACAATAAAGTTTTTCAAAAAAGCAGTAGAAAACAAGTCCCTGACAAGTACTGGAGTCGTCTTGTTCATATACGTTGTTTCCAGTACTGTAGAGTTCATTGTTCCGTCGGTCCTATTTGTGACAAAGAGAGGAAAAGCATTTATAAAGCAGAATGTACAGATATGGTGTGTTTTAGAAATTAGTACATACAACATAAATGCAGTGTAGCAATGCATGCACCAAAAAGTATGTATTCATTATTTAGAAACCAAAATTAACCGAATACAAACACTTTACAAAAATCAAGTTGGAATGATTTTATGCAATAATTATATTCATTTTATACTGCATCAGTGGCAAAACTATGCCACCTTTTACCATTAATTAAATGCACTTATAAATTTATTAAATACAATGTTTATTATAATTAGAAATCGATATCCAAAGGTTAAAACTTTTCACACCCGTTTTTGACTTGGTTCTCTGTAACATAGAAATTAATAGGTATTTATTTGACGCGGAGTCCTTACCTTTAACTGTTCAGCTGAGTACCTTTCCAGTATGGCCTGTATTATTTAAACCTTCAAAGGCAGTTTTGGTAAAATAAAAAAATCTTTCCAGTTAGACATCCTAGTTAAAAAAGGTAGCTAACGAAATGGTAACTTACCGTGCCGCTCTGGCATTGAGGTGCTGGGGATTCGCTTTATAAACATTTCAGATCAGGACTTATTTTTTCTCCATCAGAAACATGTGATATAATTGATATCCAGGGACTGATGTCATCAAATCCCATCACAATTTTACCAATGCCTGCAGAAAACATATACAGCCTTAATAACTGTCGGAAATCTTAACTTGAAATCTGACAATTGTTTTGACAAAAGACATGGTATAAACTTCATATTTATGATTTCAAAAATTAGGTAAATGCCAAAGTGTATTAAAGACATTGATGGAAAACTGAAACACTCATTATAGGACTAAAATGAAAATGATAGTAAAATAGTAATAGTAAAATAGTAATAGTAAACAGCGGTGTATGCTCTGCCTATGAATGGAAGGTTATTGGTTCGAATCCCAGACTTGGCAGAGTGATTTCACAGTCATGCCCTTGAGAAAGACCCTTAACCCTCAATTGCCCCAGGAATTCTTTGACCCTGCTCTCTCTCTAAATCAGGGGTGCCCAACTCCAGTCTTGGGGGGCCGGAGCCCTGTGTAGCTTAGTTCTTTCCCTGTTCCACCATAAATGATTCAGCTCAAAAGCTGTGTGGTAATTAGCACAAGGAGTTGAATCAGGCGTGTTAAATGAGGAGAAACCCAAAAATGTGGGGCTCTGGCCCCCCAGGACTGGAGTTGGGCACCCCTGCTCTAAATAAACAATCAAACAAATAAATCGTTGCCTCGGATAAAAAGTCTACTAAATAAATAAAATGTAACAACAGTTGTCTTGCAGTCCTTTGGTATTATGTGTGACAGCCACCACTTCTTGACACCTCTGGCTGGCACTGAGGCGGACTTTGTGTCTTCCGGCAGTATCAGCCGCAGTAGCGGTGGCTGATCTGAAACGACCTCTCAGGTGGAGCAGTCTGAAGTGTTGGCCCAGCGCTCCTGTGGTAAGTCTTGGACGACCAGATCTCGGACAGTTACTGGTTCTCCTGGTCTGCTGAAGCTTTACGTGCATCCAGGGCACAGACTTTGGCACCACTGGCACATGCCAGGCTTGTGAACCAGGGCCGATCAATCCACCACAGCACCCCCCCATCACCCCTTACCTGCCAGAGTCAGAGGACAGAATTAGGCTGAAGCAAAAAGGGGTAAAGTCACTAAGCACTTGTATACTTGTCATTTTGTCTACTTTTAGTGCAATTTTATTACACCTTTTAGAAACAAAGAGATTCAAAGCACCTTTGCCTAGAGGTGATATAATGAATTCCAATGTCTAAATCTGATGTCTATAGTGATGCCACATTCGAGTGCACGGTGGTGTGGCCCCATTCCTCATGGGCGAGGCCCAAGCAGCCCACCGTACCTGCGAGGATTACGCCGCACTAAAGGCTGAGATTTTAGCCATGACTGAGGCCAGGGAGTGGGTCCTCTCCACTGCCGCCATGTCCAAGGGGCAGGGGGATAACCCGGGGGTAATGGAGGCATGGAGGCCCCTGGCCCAGGATGAGCCCATGACCACCGACCCAGGTGTGGGGGCTGTCATGAGGACCTGGAGTGCGAGCTGCAGCTTTCACCAGCCATTACGGCTGCCTTGGCGGTGACCCACGGTATAACGCTGCCAGTTACCTGTGTGCACGAGGACAGCCATATCATCCCTGCGGCCCCCGTCTGCATCTGCGGGCCACTGGGGGCGTGGACCCTGATGGGTCCTGCTGGGGCGGGACTAGCTGGGAGTCAAAGCCCTACTGAACTCCATCATCCCTGTGAAGAGAACCTGATCCCGCACCAGGGCCCCCACCACTTAGGGTGAAGCTCCCCCACAGCAGAGGCTATGGATGCTGATCCCTAGGTGAAGAACCCTCAGCCCTTCTCTGGCTTGTCACAGCGGGGGCTTCGGTTTGCAAAAAATGGCGTTTGGCCCACCTTAGCCCCCTGGCGGGTCACCAGCAAATCTGTCGCCTCTGTTCTAGTCTCATGTGCGGTAGCATGGTGTTTGGGTGGGGGGGGGAGCTGGCTACTTTAAACTCACAAGATGTTCTGTGCCCGGGGGGGGGGGGCATATCCCAGGACGGGCAATCTTGGACCATCCACCACCCCCCAGAGTTCCCGCCTCATGAACTACTGCAGCCAGAAACGTGCAAACTGTAGTTACAGGTGAGTGAATAGGGAGGGAGAGTCTTTACTGAGGGTGGGGGGCCGGTGTGACACTTTCATGGGAGCGTCACTGGAGGGCAGGATAAAGAACAGCACTAAGAAGCAGGCTTACTGCGCTACCAGCTCTGAGCACCGTGACCTTTACAC